ACAAAGGGTAGGACTCCCAGATGAAGAATTACAAGAAAAATTCATTCCTTACCATCACCGTCAAGGCGACATCCTACACTTCAAAGTTGATGGACTGGAAAATGTCGTCATAATAGATCCACTTTGGTTAGCAGTTGTGTTTTCTGCCATCATGACCACGGCCAGCAGTCAACCCGGAGGCAGTCACTTCGATCTCCTAAAAGACGATCTGAAAAGAGGGGTGCTAAAGGAGGAGGTGTTTGATGAATATCTAAAACAAATCAAAATGGCCGAAAAAAAGACCGAAATTATTCAACTTATGCTGCATTTCGACTTGATGTTAGAAATATCCCAATCAGTTGAAAACCCTCTGCCCGGGTCTGGAAAAAGAAGATTTGTCGTGCCCAGTATGCTGGTATCCAATAACAGTGCAAATAACGCCTTGTCTGAGACGGATCCACAGAAATATTTGCTTATTGCATTCCCTCACATTCTGTTTCCTACCGGGTTGTTTCATCGTCTGATCGTCCGTCTTCTTAGGAAGTATAGAGCTCAGGACTATGAACATAACATTCCAGTTGTCGGGTTTGACCACGCCTCCTTCCGTATGGTTGACAAACAGTCGGTGCTCCATCTTGCCATTGAAGAAAAGGCCATGAGAATGATGATAACAAACGCTACTAGACACAAAACAAAACCTCACATATACTTAAACGCACGGAAAACCGTCGACGAAGAGCTGTCAACTCTTAGGGAGACGTACTGTCCCAGGATGCAGTTTGAATTCCGCATTAGGGTAAATAACAAGGGAAAAGATATTGCAATAAAAGCAGAGGACGTCCAGGAAAACGAGATCTGTAGATCTGTAGAGGGCTCTGAAAATGCAATTGATATGACACCGTATCGCATTTGGTTTTCAGGTAAGCATTAAAATTTTATGTAGTTTTGCTGTGAACAGACATTAAGTCGCTATATAATTAGGGGTGATATAGTCATTGATATCGGCGATTCCTCAAACTGATGTAAATGCAACTAATAATCTTGGAAGATGTACTAAGATGTAGGGAATTTATATTTCAAATGTTTGCCAGTAAACCAAGCTATATGGAATGCCATTCACGCAAAAAATGCAGAAGTCAATTCAACAATCTATTGGCACTATTTAACAGCCAAAACCTACTTTAACTATCTAAACTTAATTCTACTAAATTAGTTTTTGTCATTTTAATCATTCGTCAAAATCTAACAATCAATAAACGATTCAAAAGTCAGTTACCGCAACTCAACAATGCATTTTTTGCGTGAATGGCGCGATGCATGGTGCGCCATTCACGCAAAAAATGCAGACGTCAACTCAACAATCAGTTACAGCAACTCAACAATCAGTTGTCGCAAACGGTCATTCGCGGACTTAACACCAGATGGCACGCGCGCACCGTCAGCGATCTGAAACGTCCTTGACCTTTTCCATGTTTTCAATTCCGCATATTATGCGAGTACATGTGGTTCATCATGTTCGTATTGTCATGATATAGTTAAGTATATATAGTAGGATTGCGTTCAATCACATCATACTGAAATTAGATATGGCAATGAACCACATGTACATCCCGGGAGCCACCGGCTCATATGACGGTTATTTCAGAGAATATTAGATTTGGCCTCGTTTTCAAAACTTGATGCGGCGGCTTTACCCAATTTGGCGGGAGGAGCAGGCATATAGAGACAGGTAAGATGAACAGACGTTTATATGCTGATATGTTGATAATTTTACTAATGCACTTGACAGAACGATAAAGTATATTCTCAAGCTATATTTTTTATAACAAAGTAGTGTTCAAGTATCGGTTTCACTGAATCTTTTATCAAGTTACTGGCGTGTTCCAAAATGGCGGCACACAAAACCGAAATGTAAACACGTTCTTTTGAATTGTGCCAAATGCAGATGAAGGTGATTTTCCTTTGTCTGTTCAGTTTTTTTTATAGTGTGACATTTGTTTTTGAATATGTTAAAATTTTAGGAAGGAACCTAACCTGCAACTTATCGATTTTCTACACCCTTACCGACAAAATAGGCCTCCGGCAACGGTTGCAGGAGTACTCCCGCAACATGTTGCCGGAGTACTCCGGGAGTACCCCATTTTATCATGCAAATTAGTGTTGCTGGGNTTTGTTTCAGGAGCAAAGAAAAACCTGCTAACAGCCTTAGATGATGTCAGTAACCAGCTCACTTAAGGGAACTTGCGTTCCTGCAATGTCTCTCTCTCCTCAAGGTCGTGCTCTCCAAGTTTTACTGGAAGCCGCACGCCTTCCCCAACCCCTGATCTTAACAGTAACTATATTGTGATTACGGACATGAGGAGTCATACCCCTGAGCCTAAGAATGGAATAATCGGGCATTTGCCATGTGGTGACAGCACTGAAGAGATACTGGCAGATGAGACAAAGGTAAAAATGGTTAATGAAGTGTTAATAAATGCTGATTGCTTCAACAGAGTAAATCAAATATATTTTCAAACATTGCCCTTGACCTCCAAACCCAGTGATTCACCATACCATGTATGATTTGAGTGTAAGCATAATTACTGATTTTTATGTACAGACACAGATGTGTCTGTACATATAGCCATCACCTGTGTCTGTCGTCATTGTCACTTTAACCAATAACACGATAAGTGGAAAACCATTTCTTCTTTTGGCTTGAAACTTACAGAACTGCCAAAATTTGAAAATCAGCCTGATAGGGCCATTTTTAGGGCAGTTATGCTGTTTTTTCACTTTTCAACATGTATGCAACACAGATAACGCAATATAGCCATCACCTGCGTCTGTCGTTGTTGTCGCTGTGCACTTTAACCAATAACACGATAAGTGAAAAACTGTTTTACCTTTTGGCTTGAAACTTACAGAACTGATGAATATTCATAATACGCAGGTCAAGTTTGAAAATCAGCATGATCGGGCCATTTTTATGGAAGTTATGCTGTTTTTTTTTTTACTTTTTTCTGCATTTTTATAACAATATTGTTAGTTGATTATATACAAATGACAGTAAATCTGTTATTGTGCATTGTGTAATAAAGTATCAAAAATGGAAATGTACTCATATTATTGCAGTTCGTCAGATCCAATCATTCACTAAGTTAAGAATCTCAGAATGGAGCAAGTTGGACATTTAAAAAAAATCACTATCGTTGTAGAATTATTTCAGCAAAGAAAGTAGCTAAAGTCACAAAACAACTCTTGAACTGTATCAGTAAAAAGATGACAGGTGCAGTATCATACATGACATACATGGACCATCCGCTTATAATTTCAAAAATGTCTTTAAATATTTTGCAATCTAAATGAATAGTTGCACCCTTGAAGACTTATTGGGGTGACATTTTGGTACTGATTGCCAATCATGTGATAATAAAAAATGAGCTGGCGAATTTAAGAACAGATATTGCATTTCTGGTACATCATAGTCATTAATGGAGTCGGTCAATCATTGTCCTGTGCATAATGATTTCTTGTAACAAAATTGGTGGATGTATATGTGTGTGTGTGTGTGTGTGTGTGTGTGTGTGTGTGTGTTCAATTAATACCTTGATGAATCTAAAGGCCTCGCCAAAAGATTTGTGTCACTTTTTATTGTTAGACTCAGATCCTTCCCAATTTACAAAATAGAATAATGACAAAGTACAAGTACTCAGCAGCATCTTTTTATTCTACAGCATACACATTCATTAATTACAAATGGCTTGAGGTTCAGTTCTTAGAGGCCTCTAGTGCTGCTACTTTTTGGGGAATTGCCCTTGCACGCATGCACCAATACATTCCCTAAAGGAAGCACTACACCCGGAGTAACAATTCACCAGTTCCACCACTGTTTGCCGAGATGCAACGAGGTCGAGGGGTTTGGTCTCTCTAAAGCTTGTCACACGTGTATTTCGACAGGTGTCAGAACATACCGTGTTCACGGTAACGCATTCGCTCTGGAGCATAAACATTGTAAAATGTGATTGTAAATCACAAGCTGCGATATTAGTCATATTAAAAATTCAAAAACATTCTCTCTACTGCAACACGAGTTTCACACCAGATCTCCCCACTACTTAACTTACAGGGCAAAAAAAAAAAGGTAACAGGTGACATGTACAATTAAAAAGAAAAGGAAAGAAAGAAAAACAAAACACAGTGAGTTATTGATTACGTATCATGGAAAAAATTAATCATTTTTCAAGTCATATCTGCCTTTTTTGTGTACATCCTTCAAAGTTTTAGAGGATACCTCTCTACAATGTACCGTATCAGCATACCAGATACTACAAACAGGTAGAGGCATTCTGACAGTAGACAGTGAGTTTCTAATGTCCTCTAAAACTCTGTAGAAAAATACCCAGTGAATATATATAAATTGTACTTTCCATCACTGTTGAATAATGAGGTGTGTTTCCAGTTGCATTTTTGCATTTTTACACATTGGACTACTTACAAAACAGCCAACAGCATAGGCCACAAATCCGGTAATCAAAAGTAGCGAAAACCAATAACTTGCCATCTTTGTACGCATTTCAGATCGTACTTTTTCACAAAAAGTGAGCAGCAACTGCATTAGTTTTTATTTCCATGTACAAGCCTTTATATAGTTTTCATTTCCCCATTACAAGGAATTATATACAAAATAACTTTCCACTGTTTTTAAACGGTCATAAGGATGTGAATCTATCATTACCAATCTATGGTAACTGCATATGCAGGAATTATTGTTCATCAAATTGTCATTTAATGAAATGTTATGATTGGTTACCAGGCAAGTGAAATAAATGGATTCAATTTGGGCGTGTTAGTTCCCACTAGTTAAAGTTTCATTTTCTAAACTTGTAATCCACAGTTAATACAATGATAAATGCACACATAATCATTTCATTAAGCAGCATTTTACCAGTCTTGAAATAATGGGGCCCGTTGAAATAGTCCAAAGGTTCAATAGTCCGATGATTCATCGGTCCAAATGTTCACAAGAGAACCTTCGGACCAATGAACCCTTGATTGAAAAATACGATGAAAATGTTACCATTTTTCGACCAATGAACCTTCGACTATCAAGATGCCCCCAAATAATGCGACTCATCCTATTCTACTCAAACTATTATAATTTTAGCGATGTCTGTAAGGTTTACAAAACGGGGATCTTATGATGGCTCAAGCTTCAAATTCACATAAGGCTCAGTCAGGTTTGGGACAGAATAAATTGGACGTTTGATACTATTGCTAGTACTATCTGCAACTGTTTTTGATCATGTTGTTTCAAGCTTCAAATTCACATAAGAGTCAGTCAGGTTTGGGATAGAATAAATTGGGCATATGATACTATTGCTAGTTCAATCTGCAACTGTTTTTGATCATAATATGTTGTTTTGTTGTCCCAGCAAAATATTTTTTTCTTTCACAAAGATACAGAATAATCTTATTTGGAATTTTTAAAAAAACAAGCTTGTTTATATCAGGGATGTTTGAGCTAACAATGCCAAGAATCCCTTTGTAAAAGATGTCAGTGATAAAAGGGATATATTTCAAACAGTTTTACAGCGAAAGAAGCCTGTAGCCAAGGAAGGCATCTTCAGCATCCGCTTTATAGAAACAGTTTTTATATCAGTTTATCAGTCGGATTCGCATCTGCGGACCCCCCCCCCCTTCAAATAATCCTGGATCCATCCCTGTCAGGGCCTGCTGAGCACTATTAGTCATGCTGAAATAAAGAAGGGATCATCTTGTACCTGTGGTGTCATTTTCAAAGAAAACAGTTAAAAAACCCATAGCCTTATTGTTTACAACACAATGTGACTGTACTACAAAAATCAGTGGAGCATTTGTAACAGTGACTGAAATAACATGGTGAGATGTAAATATTCTTATTTTATTCTCTTGTATATTTACCTGTCTGTCTCGTCCAATATGATTATTTTATGTCTTCCTTTTGGCTGGGCAAACATCTTGATCTTGTTCCTAACAACATCTATACCCCTAAGAACAAAATGAAACAGATTTTGGCCTGTACAGTACAAAACCTAATGATATCACCTATAGTAATTTTGCTTTATGATGAATTGTCAAATTCAAGTGAACATTAAGCTTCTAACAAATCCAAACAATCTCGTATATTGTTTTGTTAAATATTTAGTTTCCAAAAGAGTTCTACTTAAGTGTAAATAAAAATGTTATAATATGACAACATAAAAGAGTAAGACATTTATTAATATATTATCATATAATGCTTTTATTTAAATATTACTGTAATCTAGTACAATATTTATATTAGTTTTCTACCTGTCATTAGAGGAATTTAACTCGAGCCATATCTGCATCTCTGAAAGGTCTTAATAAAGCTCTGGCCAAGCACAAAATACTGGTGGTCTTGCCTGTGCCTGGTGGACCCTGTAAACCAAATGACTGATTTAAAAGTTTAAGTGACTTCAATATTAGTTTTAATGCATCAACATGATCTAGTTAATAACAGCAAATATATCATAGACATTTGAATAAAGTAAAGCCTAGCTACCATATGCTGTTGAGACTGATGTGAAATTGAACTGCACATACTACTGAAAATTAACTTACCGCGGTTATTACATTTGGAACATTGCCTTCTTTTGCAAACACTTCTAATTGACTGATTGTTTCTGTACTTCCAACTATGTGTATATCATGTAGTTTCAAAGGACGATATTTCTCTACCCTGCAATGTAAAGCATGCTTGTTAAATATACAAAAGTACGTACATTGTATAGGTACATCAATCATTATATAAATTAATATATGTATCTCATATAGTCAAATTGTTAAAATCAAATTGTTTTGAAATGTACCACATCCAACTGAAATGGAATATTCAATTTTCAAATGTACAAAAAAAAAAAAAAAATTAATTAATTAGCAGAAAATAAGTTCACCATAACTTCTGACCAGAAAATAATTTTAAGTGATCTTTCCACAGTGGCTTAAATTGTTCTTTTCAGAATAAGGATCAATGGCTTTTAACAATTGATTAGTGGATGAATGGATTGATGTCTGTCATGTGTTTTTTTTCTTCTTTTTTTTTAAACAAGAAAACAAGGTTAGAACCTGACCTGCCTACATGTATGATACTTTGTGTCTGTTTGAACTTTATTGTATTGGATTAAACAATGAAGTTGAAGGTGAATATGTGAAAGGCACATATGGTGGTTACTTTTTAGATGAATTCATGTTCATTCCCATATAATGAAAAAGGACACATCTCTGTATAAAATTTTTATACAGTGTGCAAACATGCAATGAAAATAAACACTAAAATTTTTTTGTTTATATGAAATTTATTATCTGCATTTCTTTAATTGTTAAATTTGTAATCCATTCTAGGTCTGTTTCCTTCTGAATGTTAAGCCACAGTTTCAAAACTCATCTGTGAAAGGAATATCTTTTTGATGAGGATACTCCACATGCACATTGAGAATTTCTTTTATGAAAGGGAAGATAGCAAACAGGTATATTCTAACAAAAAAATACATTAAAATATGAACATTTAAAAAATTAAACTTTGTCAAAATATGTAGAATTTTTTTCAATGGTGAAATTAATATGACTGGTTTAAGCATAACCAGCAGCAATCTGACATTTAATTAAACCCCTCAACAATGCAGATAGACTTATCCAACACTTTTTTATTTCAGGTTGCCAGGACTGGCACAGCTGAAGGTGAAACCAATCTCAGGCAGACGTGCAAAATTTGCATACATGGACAGTGTTTATAAACCACCGGTTTTTTACATTGAGACTTGAAGTATAGATCTGAAAACAACACCAACAACAAACAAAACAATAAAAGCTCATGTCTTAACTGTTTACTAGGACAATAAACTTCCAGCACGTTTTCACAACATTGGTCAATAACGTCTTTTTTTTTTGGGGGGGGGGGGGGAAATTGGTTCATAATTACGTATGTACAGTGAAAAGGAATCTGCTGGAAATGTTCACCAGAGAATTCCAAGCATTTCAAGGTCTTATCTTTCAATTTCCCTCATCTGAATTTAGTAATGCCATGAATAATAATGTTGCAGCAAATTTTAAGCTTTCAGAAGTTGGTAGACCTTCAATGTGCATCACATTGACTGCTTGTTGACTTTGAAACATCACATATATATTACAAAAATTTCCTCCCACCAAAACCACTCTTCATTCTATTTTGAATGTTCCTTTGAACATCCCTGAATTGATTCTGGTGTCCTACTTGTGTCTGTAGCAATTTCTTAACAAGTTATCATGTCAGCCACAGTTTAGTGCCAGCCAGCAATCTCTTTTCCCTTAAAAAGTGGAACTTTCACCTATTTATGCCAGAGCAGATCTTTTCCTAGTAAAAGGGCAGTTCGTTTTAACCCCAAGAAACCCTCTGGCTTTGGGCCTAAAGTGACTTGATTCTTACTTGCATTCTGTCTATTGCATATGTAAGCTGAGCTTTATCTCACAAGTGTTATTTTTAAGCTGATATTACAGGAGAATTAGAATCTTTTGACTATGTTGACAGACTTAATTTCTTTTCAACTTCTTCCTTGGAGGTTGTTCTATGTCTGAAAGTAACAAAAATGTCATTCAGTTGTATCACAAACATTTCTGTTGGACTTTTTTAAGTGTTAATTACGTGTATGTGTAGCTATCGCGAAGAAGTTTGTCCAAGAAATTTGTCCAATCAATGTCCAAGCCGTTCTTTTAAGTGTGTGTGCATTTTCTGTGATGTAAATGGCATAATTATGAGTAAAAGAAAGAAAATGTTTAGATAATGTTGACAATTGCCATATACCTCCAGTGCTGGACTCCTCGACTGACACTTGCTGGTCATGCTCTTGGTAATGCAAGGGAGGACAAGAAACTCTTTTCTCTTTGTAGTTCTACATAATAAAAAAGGAATGGTATCAGGAAAATGTTCACCTTGCTGGTGATTGTTAAACACAATGTTACAATGTACCTCTTATTAATTCTTTTGTTACAGATGTGCTAGAAGAAAAATTATAAGAGTAATAAAATGATTTTCACCGCAATAATTTGCTTGGCCTGTAACATCTCTTCTTCTCTACCTAAAGTTTCTAATGTTGGCAATATGTCACTTTCAATCTTCTGGAATTCAAAGTCGTCTAATTCAAGACCTTCAGAAGGTGGCGCTCCATTCATCAGCTGCATTAGGGGTATCATCTGCTGTCTGGTCTCTTCCAAGTATGATAATCTGTCCCCTGATGTATCATTATAAAAATATACTGTAAATGGATGCCTTATCAAGTTACTGAAGAATTGCAACAGATGGCTTGTAGAATGTAATCCAGTTCTCTTTAAAATTGGCCCTTCTTCACTACAGTTTATAGGCATTTTCAGTGTGATTTTAAACAAGTTGTTTTACTTGCTTCAGAAGGTAGAGGTTTTATTTTTAAGACCATACATTATCTTACAATAAACGAGACTTATGCTATTTAATATTCAATGTACAAGCTTTATATTGATAAAAATTGTGATCTTTCATTTTTTTTTTTTTTTTGATTAGACAAAAAATTCCAGTTACATGCACCTTCAGCTTCTTCTTTCCTCTTTGACATGAGCTGCAATATGTATGCTCTGAAAATCATAAAACGCATTCGATATCCCTGGTAGATGGAAGTATATTTTAGACCCATTTCCAGAGCATCAGTTGCCCACTTCAGAGCAATAGCAAACATATCTCTGCTGGACATGGACCCTTCTGATTCCTGGAAAAACAGATTTATTTGCTTTGTGAAATAGCATGTCAATCTGATACTAATATACAGTACAAGTATAATTGAAACTATCATAGAAAACTGTAAGGATAGATGCCATCAACAAAATTACCATTGTTTGATATAAATAAAATATTTTTAAAATTCTTTAGTGGAATAACAACAAAACAATGTAAATGCAGAAGTTGAATATGTTTTCCAGAACACCTATAATTACAGCACTCTGCCCTTAACCTATAAATCTAACCTTTTCACCATGTATGGCTCTCTCCATGTGGAGTTGTGCATACGTTTTCATGTGGAGGGCTAAATTAAAGTTTCTAACATTCCATTTACTGTTCAATTCAATTGCTTTCTTGTAGAAATCTGCAGCTCTCTGCCAATGTTCCATTGCTGCTTTCTGATCACCGTCATTTCGATAATGCTGGTAAATACCATGTTCGGCAGTGGCTATATTGACCAAGAACTGTGGGATATCATGATGATTTTTTACTTCTTTGCTAAGAATATCATAACTTTCAGTGTGGAGTTTTAAAGCTGTGGTCTGGGACTCCAAGGTTTGCTCATCAAAATATGCAGATGCCAGCAAACTAATGGCTCTTGCTATATGAGCTTGTGATTTGCCACCAAATCGTTTGAAAATGTCTACTGATTCAGCCAAAGCCTGTTTTGCCTTTTGTGTGTTCTTGAAATAGTGAAGTTGCAATTTGCCTTCAATGAATCGAAAGAAAGCATACAGCAACATTGATGCTGTGTTTCCTTCACCCTCTGCATGGATTTTCTCAACTTCAGCTTTGATGTCATCTAAGCTCTCTATCACACAACTATATTTGTCCAAATCTGTGGCACTTGATGCTTTCCACAGTGTCATGAAGCAGTATGTTTTCCTATGGTTTTTCTTCTTTGCTTCATCAGCCTGCTGGTCAAAGAACATAAACCGTTTCAAGGTTACCTCAAATGTTTCCATTATCATATACTGATAAAAGAGTTCCATAAACTGTTTTTTATCTGAGATTTCATAAACATTTCTGTAGGATGGAGATAAAACAAAAAATGTATTCAAGTAAACTAAATTCTTCTGTATTTCTGCATTCAGTGCAACGTATCCAGTTTTGCGTGCCATTTTAGCAAATTGGCAGAGTTTTCTTTCACAAAACTGTACAATATTTGCTCTTGATTGTTTTCCCTCTGGATAAAGGTCCTTTTCTGCTGGATCCCAGGCTCTTTGATCAGCAAAATCTTGCACCAATGGATGAAGATAATATCGTAACTCTCTCCTCCGATTCCCATAGTACATAACGGGGACAAGCTCTTCCTTAAAGCTGCTGTCATAATCATCAACCTCTACTAGATGGTGACACTTGAGAATATGAAGGTCTAGTTGCACATCATAATCATGGATGTTGTTCCCTCCCATAATGGCCTTTGCCGCATCAAAATCAAAACTTCCGCTGAATACAGACAGGCGGACCAAGCACTTTTGCAAGCGGGCATGTAAGGCTGAAAACATTTCTTCCAAGCAACAGTTCACAAGCTGAAGAATTTCAAATTTCGACCCACTGTATTTGTGCAACCTTTTGATCATCTCTGCTGGGGCAACTTCACCGCACTGCATTTCACCACTTATTATCTTCAGTGCCTGAGGACTGCAGCCACATTTTTTGGCCAGCTTTCTACACTCTTTGTCAGTCATCTTAACCTGTATTTAAATGAAAATTTAAAGCATGAATTCAACTTAAATGCTGTGTCAAAACAAAAACACAATGTTATCACTGATAATTTGTTTAATTCTTGAAGAAAAAGCATGAAACTTCAACATCATTAATCAAATAAATAAATATGACACACATATCCAAACTATAACTTTTCAGTTATACATGTACTGTGCCACTGTGTTCCCAAAATATGCTAATATTCACAACTTAATGCATGCAACATTTTTCACAAATCCACATTTCACATCTCAGTTTATACCTTTGGGGTACATTGCCTGAGCAATTTCATAGCATCTGGTAGATCCAAAGGCTGTAACTCAAACTCCTGTAGTTGGCCTTCAAATCTTGACACCTGAATGTGGTTGATAATGGCTTGCTGTGAATCCAGCTCATTCTCAATAATCAGCTTCTCACGGGTTGTCATTATAACCTTGAACTAAAACAATATACACAATCAACAATGTTTTTATTTCATCAATCTTGGCACATAATAACATTTGAAAATAATATTACTTGATTTTAATTGGGCAGTATTAATACTGTGAAGAGAGTATTGTGAAGCAAAGTACCTTTGTGTTTTTGATTTGTTTCAAGAGGTTGTCAATAGCATGCAGAAATGGTCTTTTAGATTTCTTCATTAGCTCATCACAGTCATCAAGGAAGAGAATGGTCTCTGTAAAAACAGATTTCAAATGTGATTGATTGATTTCATATAGTACAAATTTAAATAGACTAGTCCTGTAGGTAACTGTGAAATATGTTTCTAGCTCTTCAACCTCCACCTCCTCCCAAATAAATAAATAAACTAGCCCTTTTTCCATATCAGAAAAATGTTTTAATAAAAGTATCAAATTTGTAACAGACAAACTTGATTACCTCTTGTTTCCATTTGAATAATACTATACAGTTTACTAGCCATGTCTTCTTCACTGTAGAATGTCATGCTAAGACCCGTTATGCCCTCTGTATCCCCTGCTTTGGTTGTCAAAACCTGCAGCACATTTCCCAAAAACTCTTTCACAGTTTCTTTGGATCTACAAAAAGTTGTTCTTAGATGGTTAAAATATATATATATATATATATATATATATATATATATATATATATATATATATATATATATATATATATATATATATTTTTTTTTTTTTTTTTTTTTAATAAACAAAAGTTTTGATAAAAGTTTTGCATGACTAATTTAAATGTTTTTAAAGTCAATATCCATACTCACCTGAGTTCTACTTTCTTGATTCTACATTTCATTTGCCAGCATATTTCGGTTGCTAAACTTGATTTTCCAATACCACCAAAACCACAAATACACACAGCTAAAAGTAGAATAATTCTGTTATTGCAACTTTACTTTATTTACATACAGGCGTATCAGGTCCTAAAATATTTTCAAAGTTGACAAACAATAAAGGTAATTTACTGAACCTCCAGTACCTTTCTCACTTTAAAACCTGCAGTTTTATTCTATGCAATTACTGATAAATTTGAGACAGTTTATCCCCTCAAAATGGTTGCTACATGTGATAGTATTGCCATTAAAATTGGGGGTAGTGTAAATTAAGAAATTGTATTGTAGAAGTGTTGATTGTTGTTGTTTGATCTATGTGTCCATGAGCTTGCCAGAAACAGCAAGTGACAAAACTTCATACCATTGGTTTTATTAGTTTCTTCATTCATTTTCAAACTTCCAATAATATTGTCAACATAACCCCCTCTTCCAACAAACAGTTTATCCCTCTTCACTCTTTCAGTCTCAAGTTGCTTTTGATATTCATCCAATAAATTGCTGAATGCAACACTTCCAAGATCCACGTGAATTCTTAAGACATTTACAAAGTCCTTCAAAAGTTCAACAAAGTCCTCTTCATCTGCAAACTGGTTGTATAAAGAACTAAGGAAAGAAGAGGCAGTGTGTGTTTTGTAATATTCTTTCCCCAGCCTATCCTTTGCAAGTACTTTCAACTTCTCTAAATCATCGTCTTGTAAGTGTTCACTTAATTCGTACAACAGTTCTCGAAGTGGGTGGACCTTTGTGGTGCCAAAACCTACTGACGTGCTAGTTGACATTTTCTTGGCCTAAAATCCCCGATAACTGAGCTTCATTTGGACAGTACTCAATATGAACCAGTAACCAGGAAGTTTTTGTTTTAATGGGAAATAGTTGGTCGCCGATACAGTGGCAAATTATTAGTACCAGTTTTAACACAATACAAATAAAATACACACGCAATAAATAAATAAATAGATAAATAAATAAATACCCTGCGAGCAGGAAAAAAAGCAGATCATATGCCTGTGCTAGAGTACCGTGCCCCTTATGCTATAGTGTCATTTTTCAGGAAGTAATGTAGTATCACTTTAGGTTGAACTGTTTGAAACTATATAGGGCCCTACATGATAGCATTTTGTCAAGTTTAGTGGAAATGATAAAATAAAAGTATTCTCTAAATATGCATCTAAACTTGTAGGCCTATTGTGAGAAGTTTTAACAAAATAATTATAAATGTTTAAAACCCCTTTTCAAATAGTTAAAAATAGGATGGCTGAAGTAACTGAAAAGTTTGAACAACACAATCAGCAAGGAGGGGCAATTAGGCCAAAAAGACGGGGGTGAAAAGATCACTGATATATGCCTTACATGCAGTCATTCGAAGATTTTAAGGTATTGTAATGAAATTTGGATTAATTTAGAAAAAAAGTGTTTTTAATAAATGCTGATATTTTGATAAACCACCCTTGTTTGTTTTGGCACACACACACACCCACGCGCGCACGCACGCACGCACGCACACACACACACACACACACACACGAACATCTTCGGATCAAGTAAGAAAGAATATAAAAGACAAGTGAAGAATGCTTAATTTAAATCATTTTTTCTAATTACATCACATAAAGAGTGATGTACTTTTTGTGCACCCTGCATCGTCAAAAATGGATGAACAATCCTATTAGCCTATTTTACGTTAGGAAGCGCCCCAATATTGTATCCCCAAAAGTAGTTTTACTCATTTGCGATGATAATTTCACAAACGCTATGCACATTCTAGAAGAAAAGGGAGCGCTGAATGTAAGACAACCAGCTATTACACCACAATAAATATTCTTGCTTGTCACATTAGTTAGAATACTGAATGCAAAATTGACTGAAATAGGACAAAAAAAGCGAATTTGTATGCATTAATTAATTTACAGTCAACCTGCAGGCAAAACATTTGAACCTGGAAGCACTGTATATACTTCCATGATTTGATGGAGGAAAATGCTTACTCATCAAATCCGCTTAAGGCGGTCTTTTTCATTTACATATTTTTATGGGTCATTTTTTTTACAAAGTGCAGTGTTGGTGTGTATGTGTATGCTTGTAAATGAGCTTGCATTAAATATTGCTTGTCGACACTCATCAAATAGCAGACGAGTAGGAATCAAATTAAAAATTATCCGAGGAACCGATGTGAAAAAGCTAAGAGCTAGCCCCTCTAATAGCTAATACACCTATGAAAAGTAACCAACCATCACTATGGTGCTCTAACCTCTAAGTTACAATATGCAGACCTATATGGGTTTTTGAGGTTACCTCTGGCTTAAGACAAATAATGTTTTTCACATCACGTAAATTGTTGTTTTTGAGCGCTTCCAATTTAGCACTTCGCAAGACGTAATGCACATTTTATACGCAAGAACAGTTAATTAAAAGATGTGACAGTAGGGATATCTAAGACGGTAAAAAAAAATCCGGGAACAGTCTCTTTAAAACCCTCGAGCGATTACCCGAGGCTTGTTAGTAGTTTTATATGGGTGTTTTTATCACTTTAGAAACAACGTATCCACACAGTACCGTTATATTTTTGTAAGTGAAGGTGCCTTATATTGGTGTATCATCAAAACGGGGAAAAACAAAAGGTAAATGGCAATTTTCAGTAATTTTTCTTGTTAACTTGTTGGAAATGCCTTTTTAATAACTGTATTTCTTTGTAAGGTAGCCAGTTTGTTTCATTTGAATTGTAAGCTCACTTTCACTGACTACAAAGCTTGTTTTGTGTAAGGAATGAAATACTGTTAAGTCATATGTGAAAATAGTTACAGTGGATCTCAGTTTTGATAGACAGAAAGTTTTCATTTATGATAGATCCAGATATTTGAGCTATCATAAATGACTGTTTCTTGTGATAATGTTCAGTCCCACAGTGAATTCGCGCATATTGTTATCTTCCTGTCTGTGGTCTTAATGTCTATGTTAATGATAGAGAAGTATTTTTATTTCCATTCCTCGCCGCGTGAAATACGTGCTCTTCCTCTTCTATATCGCGTAGCTTCTTAGAAGAAAACATCTTCTTGTGGTGGACAGCAATCAAGGACTTTGTAAGATCCATTATTGTAAGTTACTACTGTACGGTCTTATTTGCATCATACCTTTAAACTTCCTACCTGAGTAAATGACGCACGTATGTTATTTATTATTATTATTATTATTATTATTATTATTATTGCATATTTTCTTGTATTTTCACCATTGTTATCATTTATAGTGTTTCTGTTTAACTGATCAGTTATCCAATATTTTTTCAGATATATTGTCTAATACAAACCAAAAATGAGACCGCCACTGGTGATATTTGGTCTATTGCTGTTGGGTCTCGTATTTTACCTCGTACTTTACAGAGAGGAACTGAAAGGCGGACTTCCTCACTTAAAACAACTGCTAATTATAACAGAGAAAACACCATTTCTAACACCAAAACTTGAAAGACACGACAGAAACATAACAATTATGAAATGGTTGAATCCAAAAATGTTCACGGAAATCTATGTTCTGTCAGCGTATTATGACGACAGACCGACGCTAGACCCGAAAACGAAACCGGTTGTGCGCATAATCGGAGTAGCAGATAAAGGAACCATTGAGGACAGAGGCGAAAAGCTGTTCTGTATAGTATGGCATGACGTTTCGCACGACAGTGTCTTGATAGAAATGGAAGTGACTCACCTCGGATCTGGCGCATATAGCCATGGTAGATACTTTCGCCAGTACATATTTATTTGCCCATTAACTAATATTACCATTATTAAACCGTCTACTATCTCAGTGACAGACGGTTTATTCCATAAACAATTTGATTGGAAACTCATGAAAAAAGTTTTTCCCAGGATTCCAGTAAGGTATCCAGAGAAACCCACAAAAAAGATGGATTTCGGCCAGTGCACAAGTATAACATATTGGACAGTAGATCCATACCGCGTTGTGGAGTGGGCAGAGCTGCATAGGATTTGGGGAGTGAAAGAGATGAACATATACGGTAGCATGGTTAGTGAAAAAACGGAGAAAGTGTTCAGACATTACCATCAGGAGGGTTTCCTCACGTACACGATTGTAGAAAGGCCAATGAATCAAACCGATGAGGCGATATTTTTTCTCATGTCATCACCGGTGATAAATGACTGCATATACAGAAATATGTACCGATATAATAAGATTATAGTAGTGGATTTGGATGAAATGATCGTGCCTCGTGGGAATCTGTCAAATTATCCCCAGCTTTTAGATGCGATAGAATCGTCAGTTGAAACCAGGCATCCATATCGTATGTATAATTTCCGAAACCTATACTTTTTTTTCGAATTACCTCAAAATGAGAAATATCCAGTACAATTGAGAACGCTGCGACAAATTGGTCGTTTGAGGGATATAACTCCCTATGGGACTGCAACTAAAAGCATAATAGATCCCATGGCATGCACAAATATGCACAATCATTTCTGTTGGCGCTTGACAAAACTGAGTGATACCCATGGCCATTCCATTGACGTGCATCCCGGTTTTGGTTTAAATCAACACTACAAAAAGTGTCATTTTGATCAGTATATGGTGACATATAATTTACCACCTTGTAAAGAAGCCCTGAAAAATTTCTCGGTCGATTATACCATGCTTCATTATAAGGACCTGCTTCTACCCAATGTCGAATCACAATGGATTAAATTGGGACTGTAAATCAATTGAATACGTTTTTCTTTGATCAGGTACCTTAAAGATTTAAGTGTGATATTCCATTCACGTCCAATCAGCAGTTAGTTCCCAACAGAATTAAAACAATAGTTTAAAAAATGGGACCAGATGCTGCGGCTTGTTGTTCGTTTTAAAAAATATGTATTCGATGTATTTTTCAAGAGTCGTTTAATCCTGGGTGATTATAGAAGTTTTAATATTTATGCTTACAGTAGATGTGTAAATAGAGCAGATGGTAAATGAAATTAAAAAAAAAAAAGGTGAATTTACGGGTGAAATCTAGATGAAAGGATACGTCACCGTTTTCAACTTTAATACCATTTTTGCGATTGTATGCCAGACCTGCCCAATGAATGCTGCACCCCTGTCTGCCTCCCTCCTTAGAGGTACCCTTTACCACGGCGACAGATTGATTTTCCACAGATATTCACAGATATGTCTCTAGATAAATAGACGATCATTTTGGTCTGTTGTTCCCGTTCACTACCCTCTGAAATCAGGGGTCTCTAAAATAGTAAACGAAAAAAGTATTAAATATATGCGATACAAAAAAAATTTGTACCAGATTATATTATCGGACCCTTTGCTACATGTACCACGTTAAAATAACTGGTTACGTGTTTAATCAATTATCGACGAAGGGACTGGTGCCTAAATGTGTTCTCAGATGGGCCTACCACTCTCACGTTTATATTTATCAATATGATTATTTTCTAAAAATATCACGTTCATTGTAAATTAGTTCGGCAAAAAGTAGCTAAAAACACACCTAAACTCTGGGAATTTTATCAAAAATTAAAAGTAAAAAGAGGGCAGGTGCAGCATGATACATGTACCATCCTCCAATTAATTATCTCAAAAAGGTATTTATAAAAATAAATAGTAAAGCTCGTAAGGATCGTAAAGCTGCACTCTGGAAGACTAATCGAGGGTGACCTTTTGGTACTGATTATCAACAATGTAATAATAAATCTGAAGGAAAAATAACAAACTGGCGAATTTAAGTAAACATTTTGTACTTCTACGTATACAAGTGGAGTTGGCCAAATATGCAAGTGGAGTTGGCCAAATGTGCGCATTGATTTATTGAAACAAAATTCGTGAATATATATACATGTATATATATATATGTTCAATTGGCACCTCAATGAATCTAAAACCCTAGATAAAAGATTTGTGTCATTTTCTACTGTTAGCCGCAGAACCTTCCTAATTTACAAAATGGAATAATGACAAAACACAAGTATTAAGTGGCATATTTTTTATTCTAGACGGCATACAAATCCATTAATTACAAATGGCTTGAATGGCTTCAATTCTTAGAAGACCTCCAGTGTTGGTACTTTTAAGGGAATTGCCTTTGCTAGCATGCATCAATACAGTCCCTCAAGGAACCATTACATCGGGAGAAACAATTCACCACCTCCAAGTCTAATTGGCGAAAGACAGCGTAGCTGAGGACTTTGGCCGTTCTTAGGCTTGCTGCACGTCTTTCTCGACAGGTGTCAGCACATGCCATATTCGCAGTACCGCATTCCCTCTGGAACATGAACATTGTATTTTAACTTAATCACGAGATGCGATATTAAAAACCCCAATACAAAGCTTTCTCTCTACTGCAACACGAGTTTCACACAGGATCTGCCTACTCTACTTAACTCACAGGGCGAAAAACGGTAACAGGTGACGCCATTAAAAAAAGAGAAATAATAAAACAATGGCATTGTGAGTTATAGACTACATATCCGAGAAAAAAATTATCATTTTCAACAGTCAAACATGTCTTTTTTGTGCACAACCTTTAGAAGGAAAAAAATGTTTGAAAACTGGAAAATTAATCTTAAATGATAGTCTTTTTGAACGTTTTTAAATAACATATCCATCTTATATAGGAAATAAAGATATGGAATTCAGAATATATATATATTTTTTCAATTTTACAAAATTGCCTGCAAACCAAATTTGACTATCACAATAACAATAATATTTGAGAGAAAATAATGGCCAGGAAAAGTGTCAATTTGTGGTCCAAAAAGGAAATAAATCAATTTTAAGCCACCTGTAAGTATATTTCATGCTTACAGACATCACCTTGAGTTTCAGAGAGCTCAGGAAAGTCCCCTCTCTACAGGCCAGTTTCTGATGTTCTCTGAAACTTTGGGCAACAGACATTCACCCTGAAGAAAAATACCCAATGAATATGAATTATACTTCCTATCTTATTGATAAATAGAATTCGAGTAAAGGGAACAATAATGTCTTTTCAGTTGCATAATTGCTATAAAATGTTACCTTTTACACATTGGACTACTTACAATACAGCCAACAGCATAGGCCACAAATCCGGTAATCAAAAGTAGTGAAAACAAATTAGGTGCCATCTTTGTTAGCGTTTCGGACTGTACTTTTTCAATAAAGTGAGCAGTACCCAAATAAGTTTTTATTTCCACGTAAACGCCTTTATATAGTTCCATTTCCCCATTACTAGGAATTATATACAAAATAACTTACCCTTGTTTTTAAACGGTCATAAGGATGTGAATCTATCATTACCAATCTATAATTCCTATCTGCATATCCAGAAATTATTGTTCATCAAATCGTTATTTAGAAAAATATTAGGGTTGATTACCAGGCAAGAGAAATAAGTGTATTCAATTTCAGTCTGTTAGTTCCCACTAGTTAAAGGTTCATTTTCTAAACGTGTAATCCACAGTTAATACAATGGTAAATGCACAGACAATAATTTCACTTGGCAGCATTTTACCACTCTTGAAATAATGCGACTCATCCCATTTTACTCAAGCTATTCTGAATTTAGTGACGTTGGTAAGGTTTACAAAACATGGTGACTCAAGCTTCAAATTCGCAAAAGGCTCAGTCAGGTTTGGGAAAGAATAAATTGGGCAGCTGCTTTTGATTTAAATAATTATGATATGTTGTTTTGTTTTACATTGAATCTCAGCAAAAGCTTTTTTCTTTCACAAAGATAAAGAATAATCTTACGAGACTTTCAAAACAAAAAAAGTTTATTATAATCTTCTACTGGATTTTCAAAATAAAACAAAAAAGTTTATATCAGCAATGTTTGAGCTAACAATGCCAAGAATTCCTGTGTTAAAGATTGTCAGTGACAAAAGGGACATGTTTCAAAAAGTTTTCCAGTAAAAATGGGCTGAAGCCAAGGAAGGCATCTACAGCATCATCTCTATAGAATCAAGTTCTACATCAGTTGATCACTGCCCAGTGGCAGGGACTGCAGATTTCTTGCACAGTTTTGCTAAAAGTCCTGACATCTGTAGTAATGATTCCACTCCTTCTGCTATCCTCATGTGTGTATATCCAATCTCCTATAAATAAAACAATAATACTTTATTTTTCTGATTCAAATTATTGTTTTTCTTTTTATCAAGAGCTTGTAAAATATGTGGGTATTACCTCCAATATTTCTGTGACTGTCAGTCACCATCATCAGGGAGTATTTTACAAGCTCTTGATAAAAAGAAAAACAATAATTTGAATTTATACATACAGAGCTAATGAAACTGTTCTCTCATTTATTTTTATTTATTTTTGTCTTTACACCGATACACTTGATAAAACATGTCATGAAGAGTGAGACTCTAGAAACACAGACCTTACAAATATAAAAATATAAGTTAATGGATTTTGAATCCATAACCGTCTTAATTTTGTTTGAACATGATTTTACAAATTAAAGGCCCAAAATATTCCACAATAACAACCTTATTGTCATTCTGCTAAATCACCATGCAATATGGTGAAAGCAAACCATGCTGCTTTAGTATAATTTTAAAATTTTCCTAACCTTAATATATTCCAACTTCAAATATTCAGGCATATTGTGTGTTTTGCAGACCCGGAACACAATTGTAATGATGTCCTCTGGAGAGTAACCTAATTTCCACAGGGAGTGCATTATCTTGTAGGCTTCATCAATGTTTCCATTCACACAGTGATCAAGCATGTTCTTCACATGAAGTGGGTGAGGTTCATCACACACCTGGACAATGAACAAAATATGTTTAGTCATTAGTTAAAATTATACAGGTATTTCAAAGGTAGAAAGAAAGAGAAAAAGAAAGAAAAAAAGAGAAAGGAGTGAAAGAAAAAAAGTGAATCCCAAAATTTTCATCTTATAGACACTTTAATAATTAAACTTTAAATATACAGTATATACATTCTTTGGCAAAGATATAAGGTTAGGTTATATCTATAGGAATATTTTTCATATCCCTTTCCCTCTAGAATGCTCTTGTAGATTCATTCTTTATCAGTCTGACTCCATATTTTGAGGAAAACTTACCTTAAAAACATTTTCACTATTCACATGCCCAAAGCCTTGGAAAGTGGACTGTAAATTGTTTATGCCCTAATAAAAAGACACAAAAGCTGAATAAAACCAAAATAAATGCAGAAACTATATATTCTGCTCGAAATTTGTTTTAATCCTTATAAAAACTGTATTTATTTTGCATGTCAGCAATTACAAAGAAATCCAGTTGAATTAACCTAAAGTCATTCATACATGTGGCAAAACCAACTCTTTAACACAATATGAACAATCCTAACTTAAATTCACTGTCATCTAAACAAACAAAACGGTAACCATCAATTTATAAAATAACCACAGACCACAGGCACAGGAGTTCCGGAAAAAAAAAAATTACTCAATTAATATTGAAATTGACCATGGAGTCCTTGGTCTTTCTCACCTGTCTCATGTCCCCCTGGGCTGTGAAAACTACAGCTTCTAGGCCATCATCTGAATAACTCACATTTTCCTTTTCACATACAGTTAGTAACCTGTCCAACACCTGTTTGTCAGAGAGTTTGGAATACCTTAAGACAGCACACCGAGACTGGATAGGTTCTGTAATAACATAAAATGCTGTTGATATACACGTGGAGGGTTTCCAAAAAAAAAAACAAAAAAAAAAACAAAAAAACATGTTTTAAGGGGTCATCCATTCTTGACATCATTTTCACAAGTTTATTATTATTTTTTTACCTTAAACTTGAAACCATAGATAGATAACATAATTTACCAATAATCTTGTCCGATGCATTGCAAGCTAGAGCAAATCTGGTGGTTTTAGAGTAAATCTCCATGGTTCTCCTCAGGGCCTGCTGAGCACCATCAGTCATGCTGAAATAAAGAAGGGGTCATTTTGTACCTGTGGTGTCATTTTCAAAGAAAACAGTTAAAAAACCCATTGCTTTATTGTAGCATGATGTGAGTGTACAGCAAAAACCAAGGGAGTATCTGTAAGTGACTGATATAACACGGAGAGATGTAAGCATTCTATTCTCTTGCATATTTACCTGTCTGCCTCATCCAATATGATTATTTTATGTCTTCCTTTTGGCAGAGTGACCTTCTGCTGGGCAAACATCTTGATCTTGTTCCTAACAACATCTATACCCCTAAGAACAAAATTAAACAGATATTTGTCTGTACAGTACAAAACCTAATGGTATCTGCTATTGTAATTTTGCCTAATGATGAATTGTCAAATTCAAGTGAAACTAAGCTACTAACAAATCCAAACAATCTTGTGTATTTTGCTAATTTTAGTTTCCAAAAGAATTCTACCTAAGTGTAAATAAAAGTGTAATAATATGACAACATAAAAGAGTAAGACATTTATTAATGTATTTTCATATAATGCTTTTATTTAAATATTGCTATGTTCTAGTACAATCTTTATATTAGTTTTCTACCTGTCATTAGAGGCATTTAACTCCATAACTGCATCTCTGAAAGAAGGTCCTAATAAAGCTCTGGCCAAGCACAAAATACTAGTCGTTTTGCCTGTGCCTGGTGGACCCTGTAAACCAAAAGACTGATTTAAAAGTTTAAGTGACTTCAATATTAGTTTTTATGCATCAACATAATCTAGTTAATAACAGCAAATATATCATAGACATTTGAATGCATTAAAGCCTAACATGCTGTTGAGACTGATGTGAAAATGAACTGCACATGCTACTGGAAATTAACTTACCGCAATTATTACATTTGGAACATTGCCTTCTTTTGCAAACACTTCTAATCGACTGATAGTTTCTGTATTTCCAACTATATCATGTAGTTTCAAAGGACGATATTTCTCTACCCTGCAATGTAAAGCATGCTTGTTAAATTAGATACAGAAGTACCTGTACGTACATTCATTACATAAAAAATATGTATCTCATATTGTCAAACTCTTAAAATCAGATTGTTTTAAATGCACCACGTCCAACTGAAATGGAATATTCAATTTTGAAATGTACAAAAAAATGCTGTGTAAATCTATTGTACCGTTCTTCAACCTACCAAACAAATTGCCCCCCCCCCCCAACACGTCACACATGCAGTTTCTACACCCTAAAAGAACTAAGTCAACATTTCTCACCACGGTAGTTCATAGCCAGATGTTTTGCTTTCACTGGGCTTTCCTTTAATACTACCACTACTGTCATCTCCAGTGTCTTTCGTCTTCTCAACTTCAATTTCCATGTCTTCTTCACCGCCAGCCATGTTGACAAAATTTGTTTCCCGCGAAATCTCGCAGCCTAATTTATTTTACAAACTTCACGTTGATTGGTAAACTTGTAAACAAACCAATCGGGGCAAGGCTTACATTTGTCTAACCACGTGACATGCCGGGAATTAAGAAAAATACTACGTAAACCGCTCAGAAAAGCCCAGCAGTGAGGGTAGCACAGAGGTGATGTTATGATATTAAATTTAAGGAAAACTAAACATGGCACCAAAAAGAAAAAATTCAAAACAGGTAAGATACAAATAATGCGGTGCATAATCGTGACTTGCCTGTTACACTTGCAGTGCAATGTACATGTACGTCCAATCCAAGTGACAGCTCTAGCCAATCGTTATTATTTACAACCAGGGTATTGTTACTTGTTTTGCAAGCTTTGCTTCATTCCTTAGCATTCCCATTTACTTTCTCCGGTATGTAATATAATGCCAGGGACCAAGGAAATGTAACTGTGAGTGATATACCTTCTTTGCCTGGGGCAATGTAAAGAATCTAAGTGCAAAAGTATCTTGATAATTTTAATGAAACTGAAATTTGTGTCTTCAAGGTGACATCAGAAGGGCGAGGCAAATCCCAGAATAAAAGAAGAAAAAGATCTAAAGGTAAAATTCCAATTACATCAAGTTTAAGTGGTTTGTTTCATTATACATTTCATGTATCAAATGGGACTTCACTAAAGAGGTGTTGATGATATTTCAGGTGAAAGACCTCCCAGTGATGAAGGTTCTGATGATCAGTTCTGCAACAAAAACCTGACGGGTAGAGCTTTTGCCAAATGGAAGCCAATTCACAGGGCAACCAGGGATTTTCTAAGTCAAATGATGGAGTCCACAATAAGGTGTGACATAACATAAGTGTGTGAGTGTGCATGCAAGTCTGTGTAAAAGATTACATCTTAATTATTTACATTTTTAGTTAATTGAAAGTTCTCTTGGATAACTACATAAGGTCACTATTACCCATTCATACTATAGTCCTTTATTCAAATAAATAGCGGATTTGGTCTCGATTAGAATAATTGTAATAGTCTGAACGCATGAGGATTTTTGTTAACCGGTTTCTCAAAATTCTGCTAGCGAGCTAGATTTTCTTCAGCTATACGAATAACTTACCGGAACCGACACCTGTTTAGATCTTACTGTGCATATGCGCAGAAAAGTGCGAGTATCTATGAACAATTGTTTATCACTTATGTGATTGCACCAAGAGCATTTGGAGGTCACCCCTCACTACGACATGAAGAAATGTAAACTCATTTTGCCATCTGATATGTTCCAAGAATGCTGTCCAGAATGTCTTTTGAGTTGCATTTACCATCACAAATAAAAACAGAGGACAAAAGCTGAGTACCATTAGAGCTGTAAATGGCCCCATATTTTTGTTTGGCATTTTGAGTTTTCCTGTGCAGCCCATGCATGAGTGTTCAAAACAGGAAGTTAAACCTGAAATTTTTCAATGTGGGATTTGGTTTTAGATGACAGCGTGAACGGGGTATATAATATTGTTGATATTGGCTGGGGTTAGAAGCTGACAAACAGGTGAGCAGTTCACTTGATTGTGGACTGCAGCAGCGAAGTGACCATTTTGCGCTTTAGTCAGTTATTTCATCCTTTTAGTTTATGTAAGCAGATATGCTATAATCTATACCTGTATCTTAAGGATAATTTCTTTAGTCTTTTAGTAACTTAGGGTTCATTCTTGATGAAACAGGTGACCAGATGAAACAGATGAACTGGCATTAAGTAGAATACTAAAAGCTGGTGATTATACAAGTGCTTTAACAAGTGGAGGCGTGTAAATCTGTTAAACTGATTGCATTCAGTGAGAGTCCTCATAAAATTGGATCGATCTACAAAGAATAATATTTCATTAAGAATGAGCCCTTATTTTATTTTTTCTTTTTTGCTGTACCATGAAATGTAACTGAAATTTCGGTGCGCGGTTTCCCCTGGGGTTGCATGCTATTACTTGACATCTGTGTCCTTTCTGAATGCCAGAGGGGTCCTGTCACTTCACACATAATAAAGATAATAAGTTTCAAGTTTTAGGTACATTTGTAAAATTTTGTATTTTAAAAGGTTCTTTCAGTGTGTAGTATTTTTGTAGGTAAAGTGACTCCTTTTACAAACTGCTTATTTGTGAATAAAAATGTTTTTTCTTCTTGTATTTTTAGCTCTGTGTTGGCAAATACCAGTGCAACAAGCTATGATGATGTGCAAGACCACCTCATTGCATTGAAATCAAGGTAAACTAAGTCATTTGTCTGTGAAATCCCCTGATCTTACACAAACAGGCTCCCATTTCACAAAAAAACTTAAGTTGGTTTCCCTGACTAAGAGCTTGGTTACCAACATAATAAAGTCGTTACGTCAATAAGTCTCGTTTCACAAAGAATCTAAAAGGTCGCTTACGTCGTTTTTTTCTTTGCTGCTAGTCGATGATGTCTAGTCTCCTTGGAAGGAGACTTAAGTCGGCAAGCTCAACTAAAAGTCGGTAAATTACATCATAAACAACAAAAATTTGAAAAGAACATACCTCCTTCAAGATAAAGTGTTATAATGTCCTTGAATAGCACTGACATTTATTGAATATTTAAATAAAAAATAAAATACACCTTCACCCAGCTGATCGCAAGTTTATGTTTTTGATCGCTAGATGTGCGACAGCAGTGTTACAAGACAAGCTTATGTTTTACTGTTGCTTTGAAGTTGAATCAATAAAGTTCAAAAACAAACTTTGTTTATGTTTTGACTGATCTTTATTGTTGATAAACGATTGTTCTTGGTCAACTACAGTAAGCACGCCAAGCTAAGATGTTAGATTCTTTGTGAAACACACGTAGTCGACCTAGCTAGGTCACTCAGCTCAAGCTAGTCAACTACGGATTTAAGATTCTTTGTGAAACGGGGGGCCTGGTACCAAGTTTGGATTAACTTATCTTCTCATCTTTATGGAATGTCATTACTATGGGTGTAATAATTATTTTTATCTTTGTTCATTTGATATTTATATTTTAAAAGTGTCATGAAAAAACTGGAACAGATGAAGGCTCCTGCAACCAGAGCTGCAGATTACAAGAATCTGGAACAGCTTGCAGTAAGTTATGGTTTGACGTCTCTTAACTTACAAGTAAAACTTATTTAGAGAGACAGATTAAAAAAAAAAGGTTAGCAAAACTTTTTAAAGGTAAAGAAAAACTTGATGATCAACTATGAGTAATGGTTTAATGTTAGAAATGGACCTTTGTATGAAGTTTACATATCGTTTCCATATTACTCGATGCCAACCAGTCCAAGGGAACTGAGTCAATTCAATTTGTCTCTTGCAGCGTAACATAGAAGGTACTCTAGTGAAGAGTTCAAACAAGATGGAAAAATTAGAAAAAGAAGTTCAATTATATGAGAGGTAAGTGCTATAAGATCTATGGAATGGTTTGCTTATCCTTGGGGTCATTTTAATATTTTTCAAACATAAAGATTAAAGGGATACTAACTCTTTGTTTCGGCCAAAAAATGAATTTTCCTGGAGTAAACAACATTTTTCCCATACTTACCAATGGTAAATGAATCCATTTTTACATTCAAAGTTAGTCCCTGGTTTTTTTCTAAAAAGTTTTTTTTTTTGTTAAAATTTCTTAAGAGATTTTACAGAGTATAGCCATCAGTGGAGGTCACGTGGTCTAAAGACAAGCTCAGATATCAGAAAAATAGCTATAACTGCCGTTTTTGTGGTAAAACAGAATATATTATATTTCTATGAGTTATTCACAATGTTTTTATTGTGAAATATAGATCTCATACGAAGAGTTATTATCCCTTTAAGTTGCCAATTTCACCATGTATTCACTATTTAAAAATGTTCTTGCTGGTATTTTGTCAATTTGCATTGCATATATGATATTTACAGTTTAGCCTTCCAAGCAGAAGAAGATCTTGACAATTACAAAAATGAAGTCACACAGCTGGATGTTCAAACTGATGAGGTAATGCATTACCAAAGGAACCATAGGGTATTCTCTGAATGATTTCCAAAATACACTAACATTGCATTAAAATGATGAAAAAAAGCACCTTGAAATTTGACAGCGTTTGTGAATTTTCTGATTGAAGCCAGTATTCAGGCATATAGACATCCCTACAGAGCCATTTTCTTGGTAGTTAAAAACTATTTTTATACACTTGGGTTTATGATATTGGACCATTTGAAAAGAAAATTCTCTTATCTCATGTTTCTCATTTCAGTTGCATCCTCTCCTCCAGAAAATGGAAGATCCTGTCCTTAACATCCCTGCACTCCCCCAGATAAATAGCACCAAGACTTCACGGGTAAATACTTCCTTCATGTTAGTGCTGCAGTATCTCCTCGGCTGACCATTTTTGCATTATAAATTTTGGCACAAATAAGACAAGTAGTATAATGGTAATTTCAATGGCAATTTTAAAAAAGTTTTTCTTAAATTTTTTTTCTTTCATTTCTTTTAGATCATCAATCCCAGAGTTCTGCCACAAAATTTAACAGAGATTCTAGACTTCTTGTCAAGTTCCAAAAACAGTCATTTGCAAAAGTTTGTGGAAACACTATCACATTATGCTGGGAAGTTGGATAATTAGTTTTTTTTAGTTTACAGATGTATTTCTACATCCAAATTTGTGTGTACACTTACCTTCAGAATGAATATAAGTATTGACTACAAAAAATTTATGTTGAATTGTAAATTGTCTGACAGTATCCTTGGGACTTGTTATTAGAGACAGAGAACTACCAGTTTTTTTTATGTTTTCACAGCTACATAGTCTGAAACATCTTTTCTGGAGAGTAATAAAAAAATTGTAAATGAAATTTTATTCAGTTCTTTTATCAGATCAAGCTGAATATTACTATCAAGGAGTGTTGGGTGAACATGAAGAAAAATTTAAAATAATTTTTTACATTTCAAATTATGGGTATCTCTTTTGCGTCATTATTTATTAAAAATTTGCATGTTCAGGCAATTAACAAGTTTTTTGTATGTGAGGAATAATGAAGATAAATAAACACAAAATCCAAATTTGCTGTATTGTTGGAAAATATTTTCATTAATGATACTTGGCAAGAGATGACCTGTTAAAATTAAATAACAGACAAAAACTTGTGCATCTTTTGCTATATTTGTCACATCTTGCTGTTATTAAAACTTCAAGTTTGGTGAGATAAAGATGACAAAGTAAACCAATTGCCTGAAATGACTAAGATAAAATTTCTCAGTTGACATTTCATGTCTCATTTACTAAAAATGACAAAATTGCAAAATTTATTTCTAGATTCCAGTCTTTCACTTTAACAAAGTTTAATATTAATATTCTGCATTCTTGTGGTCCTGCATGCATGGAATATTTGCCTCTCCACAAAAAATATGCCAATATCAGAGTGTCCTGGTTTGCTCACAGATGTGGTTGAATCTCCTATAGAAAATTAGATAAACTGTTGAAAGCAAGGATAATTTGAAAAATGCATTTATGTTGAACCAAAAAAAAAAAAATGCAATTGTTTAGAATATTAATTTCATAAATGGATATATTTCATCAGCAAAAAGTTTCCATATAGTAAATTAAAAATTTACATAATTTTACCTTAAAATAAAGTAAGGGCATCCTCATTTAATAATATTTGGGAAAAAATAAAACATTCAGGATATTTAAGAGGGGGAAATCATAAGCCTGTCTATTCTCATTATCAAAGAGAAATGTTTTCTCATTTTACCCATAAATTTAGCACTCCACTATAAATAAATTAATCTGGGGCAAATGTCCAGGTTGCTGCAAATAACCATATAAATACACTTACTGAGCATGAAGTGGCTTGTGTCTCTGTGTTCTGCAGTTTCGGCCCCAGTAGCAGTTGGGTCTGGCAGTTACAGTTGCTGTGAAATTAAAATGTGTATTATGGATACCAATTCTCTAATGCATAGGAGCAAACTTATTGAATCAGTTTAAAGCAAGTTTTGTAACAGATTCACACCATTTGACCTGACTATTGTTTCAAATTCCGACTTGAATATGTAATATTTACGACTAAAATTTAAAATTTTGCAGTTTTTGATGGGAATGAGTATTAGTTATGCTGAATGAAAAAAAAAAAAAAAAATGAATGACCCAGAAAAGGGACTTACAAACTTTTATGAATTAGAAGGTGACTATCACTTTGGGTAGTAAGGGAAATATAAAACAATCAAAATTTGTTTACATCAACAAATGGGAAATTTCTTGTCACATATTTTCTAACAGCTATTTGGCATCTGGATCTTTAAACACATTTTCAATATTTCTTTCACAAAAAAATTGAAACTGAAGAGGGACTTACCTGGCAGTTTGTCTGCAGGTATATCCCTTCTAAATTCATAGGCAAGTTCCTTGAAATTGCGCAAGCCACAAGAATAGCATATGTAAGTTTCTGATGTCAGGTGCTCCAGCCTTGCATTGTCTGGAAAAATATTGTCAGCATTTATATTATTCAAAGTATATAATTTTATAAATCCAAATAAAGGTAGTACAATGAGGACTAGTCGCGCGGTGCAGATGATGTACCCTCTACCAGGGTGGCAGATCATATAGGGAAAAGCCGAAAAATCGACAGAGCCAAATGACTGTATTTACCTAGAGACATATCTGTGAATATCTGTGAAAAAACAATCTGTCGCCCTGGTAGAGGGTACAGATGATGTGACATGCACCTGGAATTTAGGCATATAAAACTGATCTTTTAAAACCAAATGATTTGTCTCTACACCAATTATTTGAAGCAATATTTTAACAAAGTTATATGTCTAATAGAAGTACCTGGACAAGTGTAGTCTCTGGCATCCAGTTTGGTTAAACATTTGCGGAGAACATCGTGGACACTTAAATTCTCAGCTTGCAAATACTCCTGCAAAATAAAATAATTAAATAGCAAAAATGTAACATTTTTCTTCATTTTTTAAAGCTCAAAACATAAAAAGTTATCTACTAGCCATCTGTCACACCCAATTTCACTTGTTTTGTATTGAAGGCGATTCATGTCATATCACTGTTGACCATGTTAACCTGGTCAATGTATAAATTGTGTTCCCAAAAGAGTTTCCAAAAGAGACTGCTACCACTGACCGATTACTATAGACAAGATTTTGATGAAACAAATTCTAACATGGCTTTCAATAGGTTGTGTATAGGTTCAACTTTCATGAAGATTTAGAGTGGCAATATGATATTTGCCAATGAATTTTACATAAAATATATATTATGCTAAAAATTTTTACAGCAAGTAACCTTCAGATATTTAACAATAAAACTAAGCTAACAAATAGCCATGTAGAAAAAGTTAGTGTAGATTATTTCAATAGTAACCTTGAATATCCTCGACTCATAGGCATTGTCCAATATAATGTGATCTAGGCATTGTTGACCCAAGTTCAAATCTGAAAATATCATGCATGGTTGATGGCATGTTAAAAAATATTTTATTTTATTTATTTTTTCAGACTAATCAATATAAGATAGAATTACATGTGATTGAAAAAAAAAACATTATAACATAGTTGTATTGTCACATTTATTGGCTGCATCTAAAATGGCTGTAATCCAAATAGAAAACTTGTGCCAAAGGTTACAAGAATTACCTCTAAACCTATCGAGACAACCAAGACATGCTGCTCTTCTACAGCCCCAGTATGCATGACAGAAGGTCCTGTGACATATGGCACCTACCAAGAGAGATAAATAAATATTATACTATTGAATCACATGTATGATGAGCCTAAAACCTAGCAAACTAAACATTCTAACAATTTGCATCTTGTCCATTCTAACTAAGTAACTAACTAACTAAATATGTGTGTGTGTGTGTGTGAGTGTGTGTATTTCTTTTCATCTGGGTAAATGTTTTCCTTCCTTTTGCTACTTTTTATCATGGATATGGTTCAAACTGTTGATTTGACTAAAATCGTACAGCTCAAATCATTCATTTGGCTGAAATATACAAACTATCCTAGAGTGAATCCAGAATGATACTCAAACACAAGATTCCATAGATGATAGGCATAATATAAGACAACTTAGAGTACACTGAAATGAAACTTACACTGCATTCTTGGCATTTCCGGGTCAGTGAACTGCAGATGCCGTCTATCTGGCATGGGCTCAAAGCAACACTGGCATAAGATGTGGTTTTGCTGAGGAGTGCATATATAGACAGGTGCCTGAGGCATTCGCTTCACATCTGCAGAAGTTGCTGTGGATGGACCAGCCCCTGAAGAATTGATCTTCAAATCAAAACTTGACTATGTGCTAATATAACTGTCTAAACATGATATTGTGGATCATGGGATTAAATACTAACAGGCAATTCTGATTCCAAAAGTTGAAGTGAAAACAAGAGAGTTTACCCCCAGCACTGGAAGAGGTTCCTTCACTAGCACTGGTTCCTGGTGTGGAATGTAATTGGTTTTGAGGGGAACTAGTAGCATTCCCTTGGGTGGCTGCATTACAATCCCCAGAAGCTGCATCAGTTGGAGATGAGACAGCGGCTGTCTGAGGAACTGCTGTAGTAGCAGCAGGCACTGTGGCAGCTGGGGTCACCATTTGCAAAGGTCTGTGCCCGGGACAGGACCTACACACGGCTCTTGGTGGCCTGAAATGTCCAATGTGTGCTTGTATTTGGTTCAACTATAAAAGTACTATACTTAACACATATATTAAAAAAATAAACAATACTGTACATTTAAAAGTATGTTCAGTGTGGGGAAAATGGGGAATTTATTGTTCACTAGAATCTGGTTAATGTAACTGGTTACTGGGAAATAAAGAAGCAGGCCCTACCCATCACCTCCAAAGACAAATCCTCCAATGCGAGCTATGGGAGCAGGAAAGGCAGGGGTAGTAATATCACTATCAATATCAGACTGGCTTCCAGAGCTGGACAAAAACAATAGTACCATACTATCAGAGTTGTATCTAAGGAATGTCAATACATGCCATGCTTAAATAACTGTCAGATTCTATATAGGAATGTACTTTTTGGTCATTTAATACAAACCTGAAATTTGAAATTCATAATCATTATCAGAAACTGTAATATAGGAGACTCCACAAAACTCATTACTTTATAACTCAAATTATCACATATAAATCTCACATAATCTCACGTAAATCCTGTGGAGCAGATTTTTTTCCTATGGCCTGAAACTTATGAACATTGCACAACTTGAATAAAATTCCAGGCCTAAAAGTGTCACAGTTATGCATAGTCCATAATAAAAGTGAGTCATCTTCTACACAGTAACCTTCAAAATAAAATTTCACCTGACAGTAGTAAAAGAGATAGGGAATGCTCTTCATACCTGTCAGAATACTGCTCATCCTCATCATCACTGTACCTCTTCTTACGTGGTGGATATAGCTATGGATATATAAATAATAGATATGGTGGATATAGGATGGATAATGGGTATATGAATAAAGCTTTGGTGGATATAGCTATTAGTATAATATAAGGAAAGCAACCTTTCAAATTGATCAGGTAAATAAGTACAAAGAATGCACTCAAACAGTGCCAAACAAAAACTTCCTTTCAAATCTAGGGGAATTTTTAAAAAATTCAATGATGGGAATTACCATGTCCTTTGTAATTTTGTTTTTAGCATCCAATTCTTGCAAATCTTCTGCAGATCTTCTTTTTTCTAGAAAGAAATATTTCAACATAATAGTCTAAGTGCATATATGTCATCAGACTTAATAACAGTTACACAAAGTAGCAGGGGCCGATTTAGGCCGTCTTCTTGGTCTTCCAGAAGATGGTCAGATTTTCAAGTTTACATTGACGGGTATCTAATTTTTTCTGTCGGAAGACGGTCAAAAAATGGAGGATGAATCAACAAATATAATATGGAAGACTGTCAGAAAATATCTCTGGATCTGCCCCGTGCACCGTGACCGTGCACATAACAATTAGGATACATCTGGCTATTCAAGACATTACCTGGATGGGCCTTCAGGTAAGCATCCACAAGATTGTTTACAATGTGATTTTTGTTGATCCTCTCTACCTTGTACCGACACTAAAAGCAAAGAAAATGCAGAGTCAGAGAAGTAAGGTGAGAGTGACTTCTATTAAAACCAAATAAATTGCACAAACTGGTCTTCATATCTATGTAAAAAAAATATCAGATACAGACTTAATGAAACATTTTATTTTGACACGACCTGAATATGACACAAGGAGCACTAATTGAACTAACTGCTAAATATATAAAGGAGTTTCTGTTCCTACTTATAGTCTTAATTCCAAAATGAAACACAAATACATACTGATGGGCATTCATGTGATCTTTCCATCCAATCCGAATAACAACCAGCACAAAAGGAATGCATGCAAGGCTGGAGGCTGAAGTACGTAAAAGAAACATATATAATAAAATTTATCTGCATGTTCAAAATATCATAAGTGTTGAGTATATGTTGCCGTGACTGTACCATAACCGTAGATTAAAAACAGATAAAACGTTTTTGGAGTACGTTGACTGAATAAATTCCAGAAACTTTAAACTTATAAACTGTGTACATATAAACTTGAAACCTGGTGAAAACCGATAAAAATGGTTAAAACTGTTGAAAATTGATGGAAAACCTAAAACAATATGGGACACTAAACTGAATGAATGTAACATAACAAGGCAGGAGTTCAAATGTACAGGACAAGTCATGTGAACACATCTCCCTGTACAATTACTCTGACGTAGCATGTGTGGCAGTTACAGTCCAACCGTTAAAAATTATTTTTCTAGAAATCAGAAATAAAAGAAATAGATACACATAGCTGCAGAATGCATAAAAATTACTAGTTTAGGGTTCTTTTCATATTAATGGAGCATGTTTAACTCACCTAACACAGTCATGTAAAATATCTTGACATATGGAACACAGCAACGTTTCTTCTATTTCATCCCTAGCTAACTTCTTGACCCTCATTTCCATATCATCATCCTGTTCTTTATCATAAGTATGCAGTGCTGACTGCTCATGCCATCTGGATACAGAATCTACGTTATAGGACTTATGTCCTCCGCCTGAAATCTCTGTCTCGGAGTGTTTCTTTTTTGAGGGTTTGTTCTCAAAGTGATCCTTAGAATCATTTTGTAAATCCTCTCCAACTTTTCCAGGTTTGATTTTCTTTGGTTCTGTTGAATCATCACTGCCAAATGCTTCCTAAAAATGCCATAACAATAATACAGATTAAATTTCATAATATGAGCATTAAAATGTGGAGTGGAAATACACTAAGGCAGGGCTATAAGGTTATCCTATATCACTCTTGCTGCTAAAATGTAACTGTTCATGTATGAATAAAACGACTAAAACTTAGTGTTTTTATCTTTTTAATATTACACAAATGTACTCTGATGTTTTACCAAAAACCCTTGGTTGTACCTGATTTCATTTATTTCATACCCACAGCTGCATGAGGTGGAATTCCTATAACAGTTTTTCTTTTGTTCAGTGATGGTGATTAATATTCAATGTCAGAATTTCCCTAAAACTCTTTCTTGTTATATCTATTAGTCAATATAATTTCAACTCATGAAAAACCCTACCTCTGCAGATCTCTTTTGTACATGCACTGGCTCTTCATCTGAGTCTAGATGAAATATAAAATCATCTGTAAGTATTGCTATTCACAAATATATGTATCCTAACAGCCATAGCTAGTAAAAATAAAACCAGTTGAAATTACACATATTTATGATGTATGAACACACTGAAACTTTCAAACTAATTTATAGTTACATCTTATCATGTGATTTGTAACTTAATAATCAGAAGAGATTTACCTTCCTTGATATCACTAAGATCTGCAGTATACTCCTGGGTTTCATCTAACATTTCACGTTCCAACTCTGCCATGGACTGGTACAGGTAACTAACATCTGAAACACAAAAAATAATAATAGATAAAATTAAATAATATAAAATTAAAAAAAAAAACAAACAAAAATTTGGCAACAAGAGTAATATAAACAAATTTAGCAAGCATTTGCTGTGGCTAAAAAGAAACAAGTTGCCCCTACATTGTTCAGCAGGCTGTAACTCTAGTGGTAACTGCATAATAATGCTTAAAAGCACTAAATCTTTTAATATCCACCATATACATTTGACTTTCAGAGTGTACAATATCAGACAAGTATCAACTTGGACAATGTGGAAAATGGTAGAAAATGTCAAAGAAACTGGTATATGCTTAGTGCAATGTCACTAATGTAATATATGTTACAAGCTCAGAGAGACAAAAATACCTCTGTCCATCACGTTTCGCTAGTTTTATATTTTCAGTATCAGAGCAAGATATTTATAACAAATGACATGACAACATCTAGTAATCTCATAGTTAAGTAATTGTACAAATGGTGAATTTTTTCTGAAAAAACTTTACTGATTTGATCAAACTACCCAGCTAATGAGCATTTTTGTTTATTAACAAGTAGTCTGTAGTAAAGAAATGTTCATTAACGAGAATCTGTAGCAAAGAAATTGACTTAGGCTACCACAATACAGTGACACTTTAACAATGCATAAAATTTTACAAAGGTCTTCATGCTACCTTTGTGTATTTAAAGAACTTACTCTGTTCTTCATCTCCCTTTTTGAAAACTACATGAATCTCATCTCCATGATTCAGCTCAGTGCTCTGAAATAAGATAAAAATATAATAACTATCTCATATAACTGTGTTGATTCTCAAACTTATATATCTTTGTTTGTAAAATGTTTTCATCAAAAATGAAAAGATTACTTACTTCTCCTTTTGATATTTTAGCCTTGTTGTTCACTAATGTTCCATTAGTACTGGAATTGGAAGAAATATTTCAAGTTAAAAGATTAAACACTGTAAACATGTATCTACACTATTCGATATGTAAGCATAGAAAAAGCTACATCACAAATACTGGACAAATTTAACTGCTATTGTAGTGTTTTTGTAACAGGGAGTCAGAATTTTAAACTTGGAGAAAAGTTTGTAGCTGCATATGATATATTTTATTGTAGAGTTGAGGTGTAAAATATAAGAACATAATGCAATCAAAAATTCACTGCTTAATGTATATAAAATACAGCTGAGGTGAGAAATTCTGACATTCTTTCCTTCACTCAAATCAAAATAGAAGTTATTTTACAGTACCTTGTATCATACAACCAAACTCTCCCAGATCCATCTTTTTGTATGAAACAGTGCTTTCCAGAGACCAAGCGGTTTGCAGGCATAGAGAGATCACAGTCTGAAATAAAGCCACTTCATGTTAATGGTCAAAGTATTTATTTGATAACAAATCTAAAAGAATGTTATCACTCCTGTGGACGTTTATTTGGTATATCGTAACTATCTGATAAAAAAAAAAGTCAATGGAAGTGTTAACCCATTAACTTCATGCCAATGAAAATTGAGCTTAGGTGGAGTCCGGATAGGTGCACTGAAAATTATTCAATTTCAACTGTGCCCAGACTCAATCTTATTACTTCTTGCTATTACAAATAGGGATGCCACTCAGTTTCTAGGCTCTTTCATTTTTGCCTCAGCAAACAGAGTAGCGGCCTGTACGAAATACCTTTCGCTCTTCCAATCGTAAACTTATCTTTGTCAATAGTAATGGGTTCCGAATCTGTATCTGTGGTACACACAAGCTGAGCCCACGGTTTGCATTCAGAGGAAGTCATTGTAAATCTATAGATTTGATATAATCAACAGCAAAGTACTAGTTCTATAGGTACTCCGTACAGCATACATCAGGAAGTCAATCAAATAAACATCAGCTGGTAAAAATTCAGGACCAGTGTTACGTTACTTGCCACGATATGAAACACTGTAATGAAAATTTGTCAAATATTTTTGTATCTTTAAAAATAAAATACGTAATTTATATTTAATTTTGGTACATATAGTATAAAATAACATTTATGAAAACATATTGTTAATTTCGACAGATATGTGATGACAGGAATCGGGTGTCGCATTCCACATTTTACTTTGCCCACATAGTTTTCTGTGAAAGGAGATTGTAAAATAACCCGGAGGTGGGAACGTGGATAAATAACTCACTCTGTTGTCATAGAATCTACAAGTACTCGAAATACACTTCCACGGGCCCATTACATAAATTCTATATCGCGCGAAGTTGGAATGCTGTCAAGCTGTTGCATGCCGTTCATTTTACAAAACCTCGATTAAACGAACAAAACAATGATTGGGTTAAGAAAACGTGATAGATCTTTGTCAAATGATGGCAAATCGGGATCTTCTGCATATTCTGGAAAACGACTAAAGGTTTGTCTAGTGAACTATACCTGCACTGATAAATTTATAAAGTTGTTTTCGTTGTTAAGTAACTTTAACAAGCTGGAATTTTTACTCTTGTGTAGCAAATTATTGTGCTTAAAATAAATCGAAAGGACTAAGTCCGGTTGCAATGGTAAGATCTAAAACAGTTTTGTCAGTGCTTGGCTTTAAATTAAAACTACACGTACAATCATTTGTTCTTCGCCAACTAGCACTAAGTTTTGGGCTAAGTTTTATGCGTTAGCACTCCTATTTACAGTTTCTGAAATTTACCGTTTGTGATTGTGCATGAAAGACATAAATGCACATTACTTGAAATAACAGTACTTGTCTTTAATATGGTTCATGTTTAGGTAGAAGACACCAGAGGGAATGAGGCAGAGCATAGATCCTTAAAAACACAAGAAATAAGAACTGCAGAGGACACTGAAATTCTGGTAAAGTTTGTATTCGTCAGAGTATTATTCATTAAAGGGATAATAACTCTTCGTTTTGGCCAAAAAATGAATTTTCCCGGAGTAAACAACAATTTTCCCATGCTTACCAATGGTTAATGAATCCATTTTTACATTCAAAGTTAGTCCCTGTTTTTTTTCTAAAAAGTTTGGTTTTTTGTTAAAATCTCTTAAGAGATTTTAACAGTGTATAGCCATCAATGGAGGTCACGTCGTTTGAAGACAAGCTAAGATATCCGAATAATAGCTGTAACTGCTGTTTTTGTCGTTAAACAGAATATATTACATTTCAATGAGTTATTCACAATGTTTTTATTGTGAAATATAGACCTCATACGAAGAGTTATTATCCCTTTAAGTATTGTGATAAAAACCAATCAGTTTATTTGGTCTTTGGTCATTCCCCTTAGTATTTTGATTGCTGTGGAGATAAAGAAAGATATTTTTGTTTTCCTTGTAGCTCTGTGCTATGGTTTTAATGACATTTTTTTCATTGATAAATTATGTTAAAATATGTAACCTGTTCTGTTGCAGATACAGAAGTTTTTCTTGTTGTCAGTTTACCAAGATCATAGGTGGTCATTGCATGTATCTTTCTTGACATTGTCAGTAATATATAAGGGTTTCCTGGTATATGTAAGAATTAATGTGTTTTAATTTATACTAATAGCCAGGAGAAGAGGGGCTATCGGAATTTGAAAGAAGAAGACTTAAAAATCTCAGAGACAATGCAAAGTTCTTTGAAGAAATGGGTATTTTCAAAGTAAGTGGAAAAAAGGCTATTACATATCTGCCTATTTGATATTATATTCTCTATAATCAGCTTTTTATTTATGAATGATAATATGTAATATTTTAATTCTACTGTAACAGTTGAGATATTTTCATGTTCATGTAAAAAACTTATCCTTTCTAGGAAACATTAAGACTTTTTAATTATTCAGGCAAAAGATGCTTTCAGAGAGTTGAGTGAAAAACCAAAGGTTAAACCTACAGAAAGAGGTCTGAAGAGGTAAATTTTAATTCATGCTAGATTTAATGTTAAACACATAACAATAATTACATGGTTATTATTTTCCTTTTTATGATCAGAAATGAATTACAGGATTTAATAATCAGAAATGTCAGCATAATTTCACTTTTTAAATTGGAGCATTAAATATAAGAACCTTAATTCAATCAGGGGTGCTGTGAAGCCTGAGCCTCTGCCAAGAAGAGCACCTAGTTTGCGGTTACAGAATAAAGATCCAGCAGGAGAAGAATTGCCAGAGAGGCCTACCATTTTTGTGGAACCCACAGAAGAGCATGTGAGTTGAATGTCACTAAATATTAGGCATAGGATCTAGAAAAATCAATTTATACTGATGGTAACTGGTAAACGTGAAATAAATTCTTTATGAATCAGAAAATGTCTTTTTAAAAATAAGTTAATTCTGCTCTGATATATCTTTTTGCAGCCTCGCAAAGCATCAGGACCTCTTACCATGTGTGAAACATTAAAGAATGCAGAAGAAAATACTGAAACCTCACACAATAATTTTTTGTCCTCCCTGAAGACACTTGGTGAGGGAAAAGAGAAAAAAAGTGTGAAAGTTGAATCATCCTTGGAAAAGTAAGTAAAATGCAGAAAAACAAACAGAAAGTAAAAAATTAAAATTTTTGTAGGAGGGTATTTAATTAAATTTTTTACTATATATGAAAATGAATTTGGTAGAATATTATGCAGAAAAGTGGTATCAGTTTAACGAAGGTTCATTTATTATACACTTCAGCTTTCTAAAGGCATGTAAACGCATGAAACTTCACGAGGATCGTGTAGCAAAAGTTGTCAAAGACAGAATTTTCTCAGTAGCAGTCCATCCTTCAGAGACGAGGGTATTTGTTTGTGCAGGGGACAAATGGGGGAAGATTGGGCTCTGGGATGTGGTAGGTGTCAATGGCAGCCATGTTGTTTCTCTCAAAATGCAAAAAACAAAGATATCTGTTGGATTTCATCAAAAATATGTTTTAAGGATATATCAATGAAAAGTAAAGGAAGTAAATCAAACATGTAAAGGTCAAATATATATTATAATTGCTATTTGTATGGTTAGGCCAGAAAATCAGCTTTTGCCTAACTACATACTACATGTATGTTAGGACTTAACGGGGATGATTTAGTTCACAGTGATGATATTTGTGGTTGCAGGAATCGAAGGAAGGGGATGATGGTGTATTTCTGTATGAGCCCCACAGTCGCCCAGTAAATTGTATGTTCTTTGACCCTAGCAATGCCTCGCGACTGTACTCCTGCAGCTATGATGGAACTATCAGAAGATGTGACTTCAACAAAGCTGTGTTTGATGAGGTGAAAGTATTAAATTTTACACGTTTTCAAAGATAAACTGTTTATAAAAACACAAATTACTTTAAGTGTAACTGTGCCCTTTTTTCCTTTCTAGCATTTTATATAAGTATTTGATTAATGTTTTGTGGTTGACTGACTGTTCCTGAATGAGAGTTGTTTTGATAAGATTGAGTTAATTGCATTTTGTAGCTCTATGCCACACCAGAGGAGGACTCAAACAGGTGCTCTGGTTTTGATTTCCTGGATGCAAGCAATTTAGTAGTGTCTCACAGTGATGGGGATGTTGGATTGGTGGACATAAGAACCAAAGGGTTGGTGGTCCAGTAGCAACTGTCATTAAGTTAATGAACGAAAAAACAAATAAATTACAACTATGAATGAACTTTTTGCATACTTTTTCACCAGAAAGTCCAGCAGTTTCTTTCCTTCAGCTCTTTTGGTTTAAAGCAAGAGGTACAGCAGTGCAATGGATAATATTAGATTCAGTATTTGTATTATCCTGTTGTTTTTAAATTCATTTCTAGGTTAGCAGCAGAACACATGTATCAGTGTCACCGCAAGTCTGTGAAGACTATAAATGTCCACCCAGTGAAAAAGCATTACTTTCTCACTGGAAGCACTGACGGGTATGTTGTACCACTGTACTGCATAGCTCAGACTTATTTTCATTAGTCCATATCTCAGGTCTTTCTCAGATAAATTCTGTTGTTTGCATTGACATTACTATAACTACTGCTATCTCAATCTTTCATAGGGTAAAAATGTTAATATAAATAAATCTACAGATTGACCATTATTGGTCGTTATTTTGATTATTTATTAAAAAGGAAAAGAAAAAAAATGAGCATATTGCATATTACTAAGGCATTTCATTTCTTTGTCATTTCATTACAATACATGTTGTTTCATAATTTAGGAATGCTTGCATATGGGACATAAGACAAATGAAAGACAAGAAGCCAGTCAGTGTAGACACATTGCCACATGGTAGGAATCTCAGCTCTGCCTTCTTTTCACCACAGACTGGGAAGTTTATTGTGACATGTTGCGTTGATGACAGACTTAGGTAAAATACAAATGCTAAATGATTATGATATATGAGTTTGGCCACAAGTAAAATAGAGAATTTGGTCTTGTGTAGTCAAGTGAAAAAATTAAAATTAAGGGTGTCAGGTGCATACTGTAGTAAATATGATTAGCATATTATAAAGTTAGTTCTCCAACCGGGTCTTTGGTGTAAGTTTGCATTGCTACAAGGAGCTTAATTTCATCATTTACAGAATTTTTGAAGGCAGTACTCCAGGAGAATACAAACAAAGATGTTCAACAAGGTATTGACGTAGGCCTCTCTTTTACTATTTCTGGATACATTATACATTGGGCAAAGAAGCAACAAAGACAAAATTATTGAGAATTTATCATTTAGAGTCTGAGTAAAGTCATAGGTTTAATGAAATTTTATCATTTGAGAGTTTGCATATTTTGCGCCATGCCCACTTCTTAGAAAACATACCAAATCAGTCAGTGTTTTCTTTGTGTAAGGTGTACAGAAGCATAAATATTTGATAATTATTCTTATTCTATTATTTCTAAAATATAGGTGTAATCATGGTTTCTGAACAAAACATGTTTATATTTTTTCCAGACACAACAATCATACTGGCCGTTGGTTGACTCCCTTCAGGTTTATGTGGCACCCAAGTAGAGAAGATGTGATAGTAACGGGAAGCATGGACAGGCCTAGAAGGGTGATACACATATAATGAAAATTATTTTTGACACTGGGTTACATCTTTGTTGCTTGACAGTATGTGATCTCGGCATTTTCACAAAAGAAAATATTAGAAATCCCATAAACATGTACATTTTTATTTTTATTTTTATTTATTTATTATTATTATTATTTTTTTGCATAAATTTTATTAACTTGGATACTGTACTTTCAGATTGAGCTGTTTGATACAAGTGGCCATTTGATTCATACTTTTACTGATGGGGACTACCTTGGATCTGTTTGTTCCATTAATGCATTCCATCCAACAAGAAACATCCTAGTGGGAGCAAATTCAAGTGGACGCCTGCATGTGTTTATGTAAATTGTGCAATATGTCACAATAGCAAATGCAACATAATATATTTGAGGTGCCTTGTTTGCAAGAAGACACTTTTCCTTGCATGTAAAAATCACTTAACAGTTTTGTTCTCATTTGATTTTAGAGCTCACCAGTTTAGCCCAATATTTTGCTTTTTTGAGGTAGTTATAAAAGTAAATTATAGGAATGAAAGTTTTTTGTAATTGGTAAATAAAGGTAGGGTGAAGAAGGCTGTGTGCATGGTGAGGAAGGCATCAAAAGCTAAATCAAATTTGGTTTCATAAACTATTTCAAATTACATCAAGAAACTGCACCCTCTGTTAGTTAGGATAAAAACTAAGACACTAAGAGAACTATGTTAGGCAAATATTATTTCAAAAACTTATTTCAGCTCAAGTTCAGCAATAGTTATCTGTTTTAGAAAATTGCTGCACAAGTTTTTTAAAAGTGCAAAGTTGGCACAAACAAGAACCAGTTTTAGAGAAGTATATTTAAAGTTACTTTATATTATTCTATGTTTTGACAATTGAGTTCATCGGGTTAGCCAAATATTATATTTTGCTTTTTTGAGGCAGTAATTTAAATACATTATTGGAATGAAAATGATAAAGTTCTGTAATTGGTAGATATACATAGGGTGAAGACTATGGAAAGCATCAAAAGAGAGATCAAAATTGGTTCCATAAACCATTTTACATCAATAAACTGCACTCTCTCTTTAAGTTATAGGATAAAAAACTATGGCCACATTCACAACCAAAGTTGATCTGTGGACTAACAGATCCACATATCAAATATGGCCCAACCACTTGGAAGCCTACTGTGCAAATCCTGTGGAAAATCTATTTGATGTCTATTAGGGGGCTTTATGACAAGCTTTCAAGTGGGCCAGCCATATTTCCTCATAATATTATCTGTTAGTTCATGAATCGACTAGTGTTGAATGCAACCAGTAATACTAATAGAAATATAAGTCTATGTTATGCAAACATTATTAAAATTATTTTGTATTTAGTTCAACAATAATTATCTGATTTGAGAAAAATGCTACACGAGCTCTTTAGAGGTGCCAGGTTGGCACAAACCTATAATCAGTTCTAGAGAAGCCTTTAAAATTACATATATATATATTTCTATGTTATGGCAATAAATTTTTAACACTATCTTTTGTCTTCTGAATGTTTGCCAAAAATCCCCTTTGGTTTGTCATTTCTTTGCCTTTTTAATTAATTAATGGAGGATTTTGAAATTACAGGTATATATGAGTTAAAATCAATTTCAAATGAAATGCATGTTTTAACTTGACAAATGACTTTTCTTTATTTCTTTTCTGCCTGCCCACACGCACTAGAGTGTAAATTATCTTCTAGCAAACATGGCTGGTTGATTTCACATTTTTTTGTCGATTAAACAAATTCTTACTCTTGAAAAAGAAAGGAAAAAACTCAGTTGTCCACCCCTTTTTTGTCCTCGATAACATACGGGTAAGACTATCTTGAATGCAGCGCTTCTGTAGTCTTCTGCAGATGAAGTCCAGAAAGTTAGATGCTTCCGTCACATGATGTGAAAAAGGGACGAACGACTTTTGTTTTCTCGTTGTACTAAGTGGAGTATGGTGGAACTATATTCGTGACTTTCACCTCCACACCTGAGCTGTCAAAAGGTAATAAGAAAAGTTAACCCATGTGTATCGACAGTAAACATAGCTAGGCGAAAGCACTTGCAGTACGTCCAAGACTTGTTCATTATGATTTTATCAAAGTGTGTATCGATAGTCAACTTGGTTTTTATTATGGAAATGAAAATTTATTTGATTCATGGCTTCATAACTTTAAACTCAAAAAGTTGGTGATTTTAGAGCAAACAAGCCCTGTTATCACATTGTAGAAATTTAGAACAAGTGGTTGTAAAATTACGTCCTAAAATGATTACTAATAGACGGCGGCTACCACTAGTAGATATTAGGGAAATTGTTTCCTGTTCTTATTTCCTTTTGATGCCAGAGTGTATAGCATTGTCACATGAAATGAAAAATAACAGAGAGAGCAGGTGTTTAAAATATATACATGTTGGTGATGGAGATAGACATCTCAGGCTTTGAAGTTCACCCCTTTTATGAAAATGGTTATTGTAAATTGGATTTTGCTGATACTTCTTGCACATTTGTAACAAGGTTGATGTAATGCCAATTTCTTCTACTTGGTGATGATGTATCAAAGCCTTATATAGCTGTTAACACTGTTGCATATTGCTGTCAATATCTTACACAAAAAATATAACGTAGTGTAGCAGTTTATCAAATAATGTTGCCCTAAATTATACATGTAGTATCAGTAAATAAGGGGGTCAATATAGATAACATGTCTTAGTTGTAAACAAACTCGGGAGATATAAGTTCAATGTTTCTATATAGTTTGGTCACCAGGTAGGTTGTCATACTGCATTTAAAGGATAAAGAAACCATTGGTCATGTAAGTTGGTGAATTGGATGTACAAGCAAATACCTTGGTTAATTAACAATAATAAAGCTTTAAAATGGTTAATTGATTAATTTATTTATTAGGTTAACCATATTACATGTCTTTCTTGTGGGTATTGTTTTATGTACTAAAATATTTGTTGAATACAAAACTTAAAATACAGAGCAAGTTATTCATACTTAAAGACAAGCAGGTCTTGAGTGGCTGCCAGCATGACTGTGATCTAGTGTACAGCTAGGAAAGAAACAACTGACCAGCATGCCTGATGAGGCAGTGACCCCAGTGGTTACTAACCATACTGCTGAGGCCTCCCAAGGGGAACCAACAGACTGGAGTCATGTGCTGGCAGAGTTTACTGGGATGGAGGAACTGCAAGCCCCTATAAGGGCTTCTGCAAGGATCAAAGTAAGTTGTCATTTCTTGTTTAAAACAAATATATATCTATTATATAGATATTTTATTGGTTTGAATTTCTATAAAGAAAGAAATTTATTGTCATATATAAAAAAATAGTATCAAGGACATTTGATGTCTTATGATAGTTTTTGATCAGCTTGATAAAAGGTGAACTTTATAGTTTATATTCATAAATTGTTTCAATTGGTAAAAACCAAAAATGTATTCATGATAATCCAGGGCTGGTCTGTTAGAATAATGTCATGTGCTTGCATGTCTTCTTCCAGTACACCAGTTTGTCTGTTTCAAAGCAGTACATTGCCCTGGGATCCACCACTGGTGCTGTATACATCTTCCAGAAGAGTGCATTGAAATACCTCCAGTTGCTGTCATCAGAAACTGTAAGATATGACACAATTAATGATATGCTTCTTATTTAGCCTACATGTGTTGTATAGCTGTTGCTTTAATATACCTATACCATGTTATTCACAGTAAGATGATTGCAAATGAGATTAGAAGTACTGCTGTACATTCAAACTAAAATATTTCACTAATTTTATATTATATTATATATATTATATTATCATCATAGGAAGGCTCCGTGATTAAAGTGGAATTTTCTCCTGATGATGAAATATGTGCCTATGCAACCAGGTAAATGCAGTAATACACTTTGAAGACTTAAAGGCAGCCATAGTTGCAAATCATGCCAATTTGTTGGCTGTTGTTGATACTCATTAAAAAGTTCAAAGTGCTCATTCATAAGTATACATGATCAGTCAGCATTTTATAGGAATGCACATGTGATAAAAGAAAATTTGTTTGTTTTATAGCAAAGGATATGTTGTTGTCATGGAGCTCAATATTAGTAAAAGGGGCAAACCAGAGCGTCTGAGGCTTTCTGTAGACCACAAGAATGCTACTATAACATCTCTTTGCTGGAATGATCTTGGGACAAGGCTCTTTATAGGGGATAACACTGGAAAAGTAACAGCAGCTAACATTTCAACTTCCAAGGTAAGAAATACTCAAAAATTTGTATGAAAATGAATTGATGTGTTCATCCCCACCCCTTTCCCCTTATTGTGACCTCTTAGGGCGTCATATATTATCACTGTTATCATTAATGAGGAGGTGTTGGAATTCAGAAATTTAATGAAGAGGCACATAATAATAGACTGGGTGACCAGAAGTGCTTAAATTACTGCAAAATAGGTCTGGCTGAGTATGAACCCAATCACTCTTTTTGATACATATCACTGTAGTAGTAATACTCGAAATCCAAGTGCTTTATTCAGTTGTTGAAATAAGATAAACCAGTACTTTACTATTTACATATAATGTCACCATTTATCTCAGATAACGCTGAATGAGGGACGGATTTAGTATTGTTAAATGATAAGCATATTGTATTTGTTCATATAGTAGGTGGTATATATATTATGAACTGAATTGTTATAGTTGTAATCATGTGCATGCAATATGTGTTTGTGCACATATTAAATTGAAGAATTTTTGGTCTTTCCCAATTCAACTACTCAAAATGCCTTTTATTCAAACTACTTTGAGGTATGCTATGCATGTTTTCAAATGTCTCAAAGTCATTATTATGTCTGAATATCCTGTAAAACTACTTACCTTTTCCTATTCAGATATAAGTATTAGATGTCTATGTTTCCTTTTGAAATGTCAGGAAGGCTATAGTGGTTTTAATTTAATCATGATTCACTTAGAACCAAGTTATTTGATTAAATGTGGTACAAATCATTGAGCAAGAATTTGTGAGTAGGAGAATTTTGTTTCTTATTGAAAAACTAGATTTGGTCCTGCATAGGTAACCTTTAAACTCATTCATAAGCAAAGTACATTGGATGCCAAAGTGAATATATGTATATATAGTTGTGGTTCATTGGTTTGACAGTTATGGTGTAACTTTTCTAAAAAATTAGTTAACATTGAATTACAGTTGAGTGATTGTTTTCCTTGTTATTTTCAGGCTAAAGATCTGATCAAACTCCCCTCAGAGGTCATCTTGAGATTGGACTCAGCTGTGGTCCAGATGGACTTTTTGGATGGAAAGTTGCTTATTTCTACTCTTACCAAGAGTTATCTCTGTAACACAGTCAAGTAAGACAATTATTTGCAATTTAAATAGCCTTATTATTGTTTTATACATATTTTAGTATTGAATGACCAATTATAGTAATCTTTGAACTGGACTATCAAAGTCATAAAACAGTATAATTATCTACAGTGCTCTTGATTTAAGTTGCAGCTTTTGGTTTTAAGCATTATTAAAACATTTATCCCCTATTTTTCAGACAAACTTTCACACAGATAGGTAAAAAAGCAAGGTAGGTCACATGAATTTTGAAAATTGAAAAATATGTTCCTTGATTGCAATTCCACTGTCAATTGATTTCACAAAACATTTGCTTTAAGGAGCTTTAAGGATATATTTTTTAATCATCAGTTATTTTTGCTTTTATCTGCTTTCCAGGGATGGCAGATATGGTTCCTGCTTCTTCCATGGACCAAAAATACCAAATCCTATCATCTACTGCTCCCGACCTGGGTCCAGGATGTGGGAGGTAGGTATTTATTTAGGTAGCTCTTTGATATCGCTACTTAGGTTTGTAGAAGAAATAATTTTATTATTACTATTTCGTGACTTTTATTTATTTTACTGCCACATATCCATTGTTATGATATGAAGCAGTTGCAACAATGATTCACTGTGACAACTGTAAGTTCTACCCAACATCTTTGTTTTTCTTAGGTTGATGGTGAGGGCAATGTTCTGAACACACACCAGTTTAAACAACTTCTAGCTATCCCTTCCATGCCAGTTATCTCATACAGGTTAGTCAGCTGCTTGTTTTCTTATACTAGATATGATGATCTTGGGGTATTAATACTAGTATGGCTGTCCTTTTCATTTTCTTAATGATACTAGTTTTTGTGAAGTACATTTTTATATTCCATGTAATGATTGGGGAAAAGGAATTTTTTGCCACTAGAGAAAAATAACTTTCTTTAAACCAATTATTATTCTTTTTCCATAGGTGCACAGATGAGATACCAGACATTTCTACTGATCGTCAAGGCACACCTCTGTCCACTAACTTGCCAGTATTATTGTTGTCTGGGTAAGAAATTTTTTTACTGTAGTTTGCTTTCATGGATACTGCTGGTAATTTTCCAACCGAGAGTGATTTCCATGAGGTTATTTGAGTATTTTAGATGTGGCCATTGTTCACCATTTGAAACTGAGGAAAGAACAATATCTTGGATAATTTTTTGCTTAAATAATTATTACAGAGAACAGTTCCTTCTCTCATGGTCTGAAAAAGGCATTTATGTATTTGACCCAGCTAATGTCAAAGTGGTGCTATGGACCAATCAATTCCAAGGTAATATTTGTGTTTTGAGATTGTAACTTGTGTAATTTCATATTTTGGTGTTAGTGAACAGTAAATTAATATATTTCAATAAATTAAATCAAAATGCGGTTTATTTGTTTTTCACTTACTCTTTAGAATATTGTTATTGTATTGAATTAAACTTCTCTTTTTTGAAAAAAATAATGATTAGTAAACTTTGATTGTTTTCAGATATAGAAGCTTTGCAGTGTCACAATAGTGATGTTTACTTTCTACATGGTGGTAGTAAAGTGACTAAACTATCTATTATGCCTGTGGAAAAATGTGTCCTGAAACTCTTCGTCAAACAACAATGGAAAAAGTGTGCTCAACTTTGTGTGAGGTTTGCTAACATTATCATCAGTGCTGGTAGTAGGCGTCATGTAACAGAAGCCATGTTGAGTGACTTACGTGACCACCTTCATGCTTTGAACATGGGAGAGCTGGCAATGAAAGTAGAAGATATTATTATAAAACTGGAGCCTGATAACCATGACAAAAGTGGCTCATCCTTGAGTAGTCGAAGAAGTAGCGGATCTTCTTTAGAGAGCATGAAGTTGGAATCTGGGATCTATGTGGTCAATTCTAAACCCAAGAAAAAAGCTGAGAACGACAGGAAATCTAGCAGAGTAGCTACCCCAACAAATAACAGTCCTCCTAGTAAGATACCCTCACCAAATGAAAAAAATGATGATACCATCTCAGTTGATTTACCCGATGGAAAAGAAAGCCAAGCAATCAGTCAATATCCAAATGGTTCTCCAGCAAACACAAACTTAGAAACAAGCAAGGACGTTGACATAACTCCTAGCAAATCTGAATCAGATCTTGCAAAGCCTTTATCCACAAAGGAGGCCACAATCATTATAAGTGAGGTTACACCAGCTGCTGAGTTGACCACTTCTCATGTGCAGAGAAGTTCCTCTGGGTCTAGTTTGCACAGTGCTCACAGTGCTGATGCTGTGCCACTAAAGAGAAAGCTGTCCTCAGAGAGTCTGGTCAGCTTGGAACAAAAGAGCCACAGTAGTACTAGTAGCAGGAGGGGGTCTTTAACAAGCATATCAAGTGGAGATGTGATACAGTCTAGACCAGGTTTGTTGCTTTTTGGTTTTATGCACAGTTTCATTTAATGTTAATACCTGTTCATACTTTATATTACAGTATAATGTTTATTATGTCCCGATTTAAAATGTTTGTTTGTTAATTTTTGCCTTCCTAGTGTAACTGTTAAGTTGAAAAACTTGATATATTGCCTCATTAATTTCAGAATCTGTAGAAATTGTAGTGAGATCAAGAAAACCAAACAAGCTGAAAAAGAAGAGAGGTAGCTCTCCAGCATTACTCACAGCATGTAAATACATTACTGTTATATTCAACTAGTACCTGTATACCCAAAAAAATTTCTTGCAGTAAATTATTGTTTACACACTGATATGATAGTGTTATGAAAGCTAGATTTCTACTGATTGACATTGTTCACAGAGCTGTCCTATGCAATGTCTTGAGCTATCTTGACTGGTTTTTCAGCACACCCAGAGAAAGTGCAGGAGAGTATAAGTGACATACAGCCTGGAGAAGCAAACCTGCAGGCAGAGTCTAGCTTGGAAATGAGTTCAGAGTCGGGACACTTGGAGTTCTCGGGATCATTTGAAGCATCACAGGAATTTGATCCAGCAGCCACAGTGCCTGCATCCAGCTCACCTAAAACCACACTACTTGCCATGAAAGAAAGGTCAGTAATGAAAAGGAATGTTGTATGTTGGTGAAAGTTGTCATGGCATAGGGATCTCTTGAAGTGGAGAAAACCATTTAGAGCAAATATTTTGCTGATACATGTTTCACCATGACAGTACATTCATTTTATATGTCATTGCAGGTTTTCGTCTAACTTTTCTACGAAGACCAAGTCCATTTTTAAGACTTTCAAAGATCTGAAGGTCAAGGCAAGGCTCCCTAAAAGAGGCTTCCAAAGTAGCGAAACAGATTTGTTAGACATCAAAGATGTGAGTCTATTGTGAATGGATTAATTATTTATATGCACAGAGAGGGAATTTCTAAAGTGACTGTGTTTACAGCGCAAGATCATCGAGAAATATTTCATATCTCATGAAAAGAAAAAAAATTCATGCCTTAAACAAGTAGATAAATTTGTAGTGGAATGCCCCTGTAACTAAAAGTTTGTTGACCTTTTTCAGCCATCCCTACAGTCTTACACCGAGGAAAGTGCCTTTGTGAAAGCGGATGTAGAAGACGAAGAAGATGAAGAAATCAAACCAAAGTCTGAATTTCCCATAGTGGACACTTCCATATTGAAAGAAAAAACTAATTCAACAAGGTTTGGATTTTACATTTATTTCAGAATGAATTTCCACGTTCTAGAGAAAGGATTTTTATGGACATTTCACTTTTTTCTCAGTCATGTAGTGATTTGCATAAGTTATTATAGGTGAGAAAAAAAAATTAAGTGTCAAATAGTGCTTCCTACATATAGTTTAGGATGTGTTGGTAGTAAAAAATACTATTGTTTCCATTGTTATCCAGGCAAAAACTCCGCAGTTCTGAAATATTGACCCATCCTCAGGCAACACAGCAGGTGTTGTCACAATGGGTGAGGCACCTGCATTCCACCCTGCAGTTATTACACACTGCAATACACAGCCTTAAGAAGCAGAAATTGCTACAACAACAGCAGCAGGAAAACCTGACATCTAAACAAGCTGGAGACAATCAGCATGACACATTGGAGCAGTCAGGAGATGATCTCTCCAGCTCCAATGAGAATACTTTGATGGAAACCCCACAGGAATTGGTTGAAAAAGATGAAGGATCAGAGATTGAGATTGCTCAAAGTTTGCCTACTGACAAACTGTTACCTAAAGAAATTATCCAAAGAACGGAGACATCAAATTCAAATGATATGCAAGGAATTAGTATTTGTAGGAGGTTAAGTTATGGTGGAGATAGGACTTCAAGGAAACCAACAGATGTTCCTGGTTATGGTGTCCATGAAAATAAATCAGTCTTTGATAGGAAAATTGAGAATAGTCATGACAATATCACGGTTGAGAAGTCTGATCAGGAAGATGAAATTCTTGTCACAAGTAGCCACCTTGGCCAATCACCAGACAATGATGATGATGATGATGAAGGCATTGTACTTACACTTTCAGCAATTGCTAGTGAGGAAATGGGTACTACCACATTAAATGAGAATGCTGAGGTATCAGATGGCAATGAAAGTGATCATTATGAAGTACCTTACAAATACAATCAGGATGGTGCAAAAATGTCTGATGAAGCAAAAAAGGCTGCACAAACACAAGAAAGTTCATCACTTGGAAGCAGCACATTGTCAGAATTAAGTTCTGAAAGTGAACACTTGACCATCAACAGTCCTGAAAAATTCAGCAACGCAGTAAGTTCTAAATTGGGAATTCGTTCATTGGATTGTGAAAAGAATGCTGTGTCACATGACAATGACAGGTCACATGACCTGCCCCCTAGTGGTGCTATTTTGACGGATGAAGCGATTAAGGACACACTGTCACATTTGTTTGACAATCCAATTTATGTCAGGGATCCCTTTAATTTGGAGAAAGATATCCATGAGCAGGTGGCAGAGTTAGCAATGCTCTGTTTTGAAGCTCGTATTCATGGAGGCATTTCATTGTATATTCAGCCAAACTTGGAAAATGACTGTGATAAAACAGAGTCCATTTCAGACCTTCTTTTGCCAAAGGGTGCTTTTCTTGCTAATGGTGATGTGAAACAGACAGAAAATGACAGTGGCATGTGTCAGATGAATGGTGAGCTGACCAAGGAATATAATTCCACGGCATCTACATGTAAAAGTAATTCTGTGGTAAGCCCAAAGCATCACCGTTTTGCAATGTCTGAAGGACAATTGATTGGTGCTGAAGATGCACAAGAAGATGTTGACATTAAAGAACTGGGGATCTTTCTTAAGTGTTATTTTCATCTGCTAGACTGTGAAAGAATTAAGAGAGCATTGAGACATTGGCGTGACTCTAACAGGAAGATGGTGTGGGTTGCATTGTTGGAAGCTTTAAAAGGTAGGAAACAGCTTATGGTATTATTAACTAAGTGAAATGGAGAGTAGCTTGATGTGTTTGTTGTATTATATCACATTTTAAATAATGAATGGGAAATGCATGTATTTGTGGGTCAAATTTTGTGTCTGTCACATTGAATCATTTGCAATGGTTTAAACATTTAAGTCTCTTTGCTTTAACTCTCCTTCATTGTTTTTATGATTAAGTGATCTCTTTCAGAGCTTGGCAAGTTTGATTTGGTGGCAGAATGCTTAAAGGAGAGAAATGTTAATGGGGCATTAGATCTTCTAAGGAGTGGGGTACTTCATGACAAGAGACCAGTGCTGGCACATATAGTCAGGTAAAAGGGTAGTTTGCACAGGTCATAGCTCATGCATAGACTAATGTTGGTCAGTTTTGTCAGATGCCGTCTTGTTTCTGTGAAACTTTTACTCAATTAACTTTATTAGTCAGTTCCTATAATTATTGACAACATGGTCACAAATATTGCATGGTGGGAAGAGTATATGCATTTGAATTTACTTGAATACTGTGAAATAGTACAAATGCACTGTTATTAAGTTGTATGTTGGTTCAATATACAGTGAATTATTCCTGAGATATATGAAGTACTAATTTTTGTTTCCATACATCCAGGCTGTTTCAGCTCAGCCCAACCAAGACACTAGATTTCTGTGCTGAAGACCAGAAATATGTGTCTCCCATAGATGTCCTCTACATGTGCCAAGATCACAGTAAATATCCACAGCACTTAATTCACTATGTCAATAGATGCCTGGAGGATCTTCCACCAAGACAAAGGTAAAGAATAGTTCTTATCTTTCCAAGTTCAATAAAGTTGAGTGGCTTTGGTATATTTTTTAGGCAAATGTGTCAGTTTTTAGCACATTTGTTGCATATGTATCGTTTACTAATTTTGGGCCCTGTTAAGATTTTTTTCATCTGCATGACAATAATTTTTTTTTTACAGAAAAGCAGCCATTAAAAGCATGTGTAAAGACCGTGACTTTTATCTCAGTTGGATACAGTGTCTTCTTGTGACAGATGGAGCAAGCAAAGAACACATGCAGTGTTCCTGTGGGATGCCTAGGTACTGCTCACCTATTGTTTCAGAATTTTGTATGAATGAAAAATGTGCAGATGTTTATTTTAAATAGTTTTAACTATACTAGTGTAATCATTTTGCTTGAATATTTCTAACCAACAGTGTCTTTTTAACCATTTAGTTAAAGACCATGAATTTGATCTGTGGGCTAATATATTTATATCATGCAGTTTTTGCTTAGACTTAGAGCTCACTTGTATATAAGTTGGATTCTGTGTCCATGATATTAAATCTTCTCATGCAATTTTGGCTCAGGCCAGGAGCTCACTTGTTCAAGTGGACACAGGATACTGTGATCAGTGAAGCACAGAAACATGGAGGCTGTGACCAGGAGGTACACCAGATCTTCAAGGAGCAGGGGTGCGTAGATAAACCTTGGAAAAATATTAACATATTATGAACCTCTGTGTTATCTAAAAAGTTACAATCTGAAGAAACATTTTTTAAAATCTCATATATATATTTTGATTTGTATTACTTTATTTGAATGTTTGCACACACTATTCCATGAGGGGCTGCGCCCCCCTCCACACACACACACACACACACACACACACACGTGCACGTGTGTGCACACACATTTTATGTACTAACAATAATTTAAATATTTAATTCTATAGGTACTGGCTAGGTTATTTACAATTATGTGACAAAACTCGGGAGTCCACACGGAGAGAAGCAATAGAAATAGTTCTTCAGCTTGGAGATGAACAGTTACTTCATCATGGACATAAACTAGGTAAACTACATGTAACAATAATTTCTCAGACAAATTTAACGATTGTTTTGAAGTTACTTGTCAGTAGGAAATTGATATGAATTTCTAATAATGAAATACCATAAGATGAGTAACAGGAATTCTATGTCCCATAGGTATTTTAACAGTAAAAATCACTTTTCACCTTGGAGACAAAATGGTATATTTATAAAAGTTAACTGCATATCTTTTGGCCTCTATTGAAGGTTGTTACCCAAGAACTAACCGGGATTGGGAATATGTCTTCCATTTAAAAGAACTCCAGAACTGTCCATCTGGAAACACACCTGACACAATGAATGCTCATGGCCCCTTATGTGTCAAATGTAAGGACGTCTTATTACTGGATTCCAATACTTCTGCAACAAATGCTCCAACACATCTGATTGGTTGGTCACCTACTGTCACATGGGAGAATCTAGCTCGTCTATTGGTTCGCAGTGTTGGGGGTGCCAAAGCATTGGATCTACTGGGCACTTTCAAGATTCCCGATGGTACACTTTCTGTGGCTTTCCTACAAAACACACTATGTACAACTGTGCTACATCAACAACAGAGGTATAGTTACAGTATTGAAATAAGGCAACTTGGAAGTGATGTCTTGCTCTAATTTTTTTTTACTCTTTTGCGAGAGATTGTGAATGTACTTGTGTTTCTTTGAATCGTTGACTAAACATCAAGCATGAATTGGAAAACGCAGATGTCATGTATTTGAAACTTTAACACAAGTTTAGGTTAGCAACAGTCATAAATTTTTATTTGTTTAAAAGTAAGATTTAATATCATTTTCTTCTTCATGCATGTTTTGATGTACTAATGTATTCATTTCGGATTCATTAAGAAAGTAATTTTATTACTTTTGTCAGACTCTTGGTTCACAATATCTTAGAGACAGTAGATACCTATCTTTGGTCACAGAAACCAACACATGTAGCACCACAGGTAAGGGGATAGCCTTGTAGCCTTCATAATATTCATATACAGACACTTTTACTGTTTTCAAACATTTTTCATTAAGTCGTTTGTTTGTTAAATGACAGTTTACATCTGGTATAATCCAATTCTGCATTGAATTTGATGTTTTATCAGATTTGATGCTTTTGTATACAAATTTAGACATGAACTTCTTTAATAATAGAAATCATTTTGAATGATAAAAAAGGATCTTTTCAAGTCAAATGTTTTTTACAATTCTAGGTACTGTTTGCCATTGAAGAAGAGAAGATTTGTATAGCATCTAGGAGTCGAGGGGAAGAGGTCCACCTGAATGAAGCCCTGGTAGGTACACCTGCAATCATGTTTGCACTTACTCTAGGATGAATTTATGAATAAGCTCAGACACAAGAAAATCACGCAAATGTAGAGAGATAAAGTGTGTGAGATGGATAGAAATAAAGTATATATTTTAAAGGCTTTAATAAGGCTATAATAATAATATAGAGGTGGAAATGAATGTACATAAAACTATTTCCTTGGTATTTTAGCAAGCATTTTTGGTCCTTGGAAGACAGGTAAAATTAGATCAAATATCCTTAACGATCTAATACATCAATATTAGATAGTGCAAGATTTTATATGCATGTTATATTTTATTATTGTATTTGCATGTTATATTTTATTATTGTATTTTCTGTGGTAAATGTTGTTCTTCTAGTAATTAGATTATGAGGCAGTTAATTGCTTCATGTAAAGCTAAGTTTATTAGTAGCATTCTTTTATTTAAATATTGTGAGCAAATTCATTTGTTTGTGTCTTTAATGGATTCTTTTGTTATTCCACTTTTATATCTAATTCATTCATTCTACTTATAATCTGTGTTCACCTTTCTTCATTCAGACAACTGGTATATTTGCTTAAGCTTGGATATATTAAAGTCACTAACCAGGCTCAGTACATTCCTAGCATTGTTTATATTATTGCTAAAAGTGGACTCTGTCTTCACCTTTTTAGGTGCCTTCCATTCAAAGAAATTTTAATTGAGTGTACAGAGACATTTTTATTTCTAATCCAATCTTGCCATACTGCTTTATTTTTGAATAGCAATATTGCTAAATCTTCAAGTAAACCATTTTCAACTGGTCATTATTATTATCATATTGCTTTTCCCATAATTTTGTGACTGTCAATGGACATTTGATATTATTAGTATTGGGTATTTTTTCATGCTCCAGCATGTGCTTAATATTGAAAGCAGGACTGTTCAGTGTCATCCGTGAATTTTATGGTATATATTTTCACATTATGTCATGCAGACATAAACTTGGATCTCTTTTCAACTATATCACAGTGGTGAGAAATCCCCACACAGTGTCACGTTTTTTAAGGATGCTGTCTCTTGTTTCCAGTTTACTGATGTGAGTAGTAGAACAGACAGTAAGCACTGGCTGGAGGAACCAGAGGGTCACTGGGGAGTCCACACTGTCATCACTGGGTAGGACATGCATGTTGCAGACACTGTCTTTAAACCGTCAGGCCTCTGAGACTAGTACTGTCTTTTATAAATAGTATAGACAAAAAGAGACAGAAACTGTTTGGCAATACATAATTAATGACCTTGCCTTATATCTCTCTATTGATAGATTTCTGGTCACACACACAAGACATTCAGCTATTTAACTCATCATTTCTTTGAATTTATAACTTGAATGCTACCACAGACAGATGGTATTTCAACCATGTTGATGTTTCAAGGCAGATGATCTATCTATCTCCGGTATGCATCTGATGTTAACTATGTGTGTAAATGTGAAAGTGCATACCTTTTTTATAAAATGTAAATGTTCTTTTGAAAGAACTGCCCATTTTGTCAAGAAAAGGTCCATTCTGGGTAAAATTTGATCTAGGTACACAAAGGTTTCCTTGTTAAAAGTCCCCTTTTTCTGAAAAGAACCCCCCTTTTGAAATTGCTGGCTATGGGCCTCAAAACAGTTTGTCAAATTAAAGTTTCAATATCACTATCCTTTTAGTGTCTGTGCTGTATGTGAGCTTCCACTGAAGGAGCAGGTATCTATTGCTGAGCCAGGACTCCTGGTCTTTGACTGTGGTGAGTATATGAACAGACCAGCATTTTTTTCTTGTCTATTGTGGAATATTTGATTTAATCTGACTGGAATATTTTCAACACAATTTAGCAGAAAAAATTTTATAAGTGAAATATTGAGGATATCTCATGGATGAGATAAAAGCATTGTGCTATGCTTCAGTTTGATGTATGTTTTTTTTTGTGTTTTGATGTTATCACTGAAAAGTAGATCCCTTGCTGACTTTGACTGATGTAAGTTTTTTTATGTATCACTTATAATTTATACTGTGTGTACATCTGAAAGTCCACCACTGACTTACGGTGCATTCCCAGAGATTTAGATTTAGGTCGACCTAACTCCCTGGGGTTCACGCTAAATTGCAGTCAGCCGAGCGCGCACCTTAGTTAATTACCCCCTTACAGCTTTTAGTAGGCGGGACAGACACTTAAGCCGGCTAAGCTGACAGTAATCTAGTGAGACTCCCCACAGGGATAGATCGATCTAAAATATATGGGAATGGGGTCTTAGCTGGATCTGTTTCATGATGCACAGATTATGCACAAAGAATGACAAAGCATTCTACTTTTATGATGTATTACAGCATTTGTCTTTGTAAAAGCAGTGTCATTTGCCCTGTTTTAATTTATGGAAGCATATGCAGCATAATACTATCTTTTTTTTTGCAGGTCATAGTTTCCACAAGAAATGTTTACCAGAGCAAGCATGCATGCTTTGTTTGGAAGATAATTTGATGTCACAAGAATCCATGAAGTGAAGTGAACCAGCCTTAAATTGAAAGCATTTGACTCCTAGGGGAAAGGATTTGTGATTAAGAGGTTAAAAATATTTCTGTGCCTTACTTTTGCTACAGGCATTTGCTAAAAGAACAAGATTTATTCATCAGTAGATACACATCGTGGGTTGTAAACCCCAAAGACAATCAATACAGAACTAAGAGAGGCCAAAAAGAATAAATGAAGAATTGGATAAAGGAAAATGTCACTTTTTTCCTCAAGCACATCTCATGATCAAGAGATAGTGAAATCAGTACTTAATAATCACTGAGAAGGGATTATTTGCATAATTGCTAATATTTCAATATTCAAAATTTGTAGATAGTGTTATTTCAGTAGAAAAGCACCTGAATGAAAACGAAAAAAAGAAAATAAGGGAATCCATAATAAAGTGCATAAAATGTTCAAGTGATGCAAGTGATGTTAAAGGAGACTGCTCATAATATTCAGTTTCTATAAAAATGATTGTGTAACTTCTAATATTGAGAGTAGGAAACCTTGCTGTAGCTTATTTATTTTTAATTCAGAATTTCTGCAGAGGTTCCTGCCAGTAGTATTAAATTCATTACAGCATGGAAAGATATTGAATAGATATGGTTAAAGACATTTTACCTCCTTAACACTAAATGGATTTAGTTAAGGGTTCCAGGTTTAAGATGGAAGACTTATTTGTCATACTTGAAGTTAGAAAAAGAGTATTTGAAAGAGATTTATAGTTAAAAGTAAGTTATTTATTCACAAATTTTCAAATTTTGCCTATCCAGTATCCATGACTTTGAATTACGTATACTACATACTTTGTTTATAGGCATTCAATATGCTTTTTTGATCTTTTGAATATTTTTATTTTCAAATCTTACTTAAAACACTTGTGGGAAAGAAAAATAATCAGTTTTGAGAAGGTTATCAGAAATTACCTAATACCTAACACTATATTTTGTCACCTAGAAAACAGTTTTGGATTGTATAGTTTAAGATTTAATCATATTGATTGATTTAAGTGGTACATTATTTTCATATTTAAATCGTGTAAAATGCATAATTGAAGGTAAAGAGTTGTGAATTTATACTCCATGTGTCAAGCTGCTGCATGTAGAAGTGATTAAACAAAACAATTGCCAGGTGCTTGCTTATAGCATAAAAATGTAGCAGATGTTACACTTATGAATCATCCTTTTTTTGCAAGAATTGGCTGAATGCAAAGAACAAACTGTGATAAATTGTAATTTTTTTAATGTTTATTGAAGGAAAGTAATTTTCTACAGGTAATCCCTTGAATATATATTTGAGAAAATAAACTAAGAAACGTTGTCTTGGACTGAGTATTTTATTTTTATTTCTATATAAAAATAATGATGAATGAATAGATACAAGTGGAAATGACTAATGTCTAGTGATAAATTATATGAAATGTTGCACTATACATAATAAATTACTATAATTACATGTTCCAGACTAGAAAAGAGATTCTCAATTTCAACTGCCAGGAACTATTACATTTGGTAATCACTAATGAATATGAACATAGATTAACCAAACCAGTGAGCAGAAATAGGTTGGTCAACTTGATAATTCTGCTGCATTACATCTGTTGTCCTTTCTAAGAGGTAAAATTAATGTGAATAATTGAATTGCCCGAATAACAAAGCCTGCTGTAAATGTAAAAGCAGACATCTGTACCAGACTGTTTAATTACTATAAGATCTATGTCATTCTATTTTAAGACCTATTATACTGTATCATTATATGGCAATGTTTTGCCACCAGACAGGAAATCTTATAGGGGTGCGATGCACCTAACAACCAAGTGGAAGCAACAGCTGTATTATATGGTACTTTTATATCCACATTGAAGTCTAAAAATTTCAGAAAAAGCTACTTATTTCAAGTGTCAAAAGATGTAATACTTGTGATGCTGCCAAGAGTTAAAATGCACTGGTTTTAAAATACATTTTTCTTCAACTTATTTATGGTGATAGCTACTATTAATGTCTATGAAACCTGTTTTTGTATAACAAACCACCAATGAACATTGTTAACATTTTAACCAACCAAAAAACAAAATGTGCAATTTATGATCTACTCTTATGCTATCTGGGGTGTTAAAATAATAATTTCTTCATCTGATTAAGCTCAACCACCCAGTACAGTGTATTTCCACAGCAGTTGCACCTGCTTCTCTTGTTTAACAAGAACATAAACACACAAGGAAATGTTTGTACTACACCGTTTAATGAAGTTCACATCTGGTGATGGAATGTTACAAGGGGAGGTTTCTTGTAATGTCTTCTATTATATATGAACTAGCTCACTGCAGGGAGGACGCTGCCGACTAAATCAATGCACATTTTATGTCTGTTGACGCAACATTTAGCACCAAGTCCCCCCATCTTGTCAAAAATTGTGTTATATATGAAATATCATACATGTGTTTTTTGTTGGAAGTGGAAATGTTTGGAAGGATGAAATACTGACAAACAGTTGGCAGATCAAGAATGTACCCTTCAAAATTTTGTGTGTGGGCATAAATGCATTAGAAAGCATCAATGCTACCCCAACTACCGATATTCAATGCTTAGCAAAATGAAAAATTAAAAAAAAAAAATTTGCTGGATCTGAATCCAATTTAAGCAATGTCAACATTACAAAACCATCAAAATTTAGAACTCTCTTTCTGGTTGTGTTCAGTCTGTATGAAACCTGATTTATGACACACTAGTTTCAATTATTTTGTGTAATACAAGCCTGTAACCATGATGATCAACAGCAGTGCTATGTTCATTCCTCAGGCATTTCAATAGAAAGTTTACATTTGTGTGCATTGGCAAACTTGACTACAATAAAAAGCTGAGACTGAACCTGTTCTATTCATGGCAATATGAAAAACATGCTAATGTCTTATCCGCACAAATGTTTAAAATCCTTCATGAAAGTCATGGATTTAAAGGTGAGTTTGTCTTTTGATAACATAAATTGTAAATTAAACAATTTAATAATTTGTCAATTAAAAACAATATAACATAAAACACTGGTTTACTGTCAGTATGTACCAAGAAATGTTTACATAAGATATCATAGCTGCCAATACACGACATGTTACATGTAAAAACACAAACCTGGGCATTATGCGACCCCCCCCTCCAAAAAAAAAAAAAAAAAAAAAAACTTACTAGCTACAAAAACTCTTTCTTTATTGTTAGCTTCATGTCACATACTGATGTTCCACTGATGGACAGCGCGGCCACAACCTATTACATAACTGGTCCACCAACTTTGACTTCAAAATAAATGTGATATACTTTAGAATGTCATCACTGCCCTCCCATGCTTATATTTATATCCTGATCAGGTGTCCCTCAGTAAAAGCAGGGAGCTTGCAGTTTAGCATATAGTAGAATAGAAGATTTTAAAATGAGTTAATGATGTACTGAAATCTTACTTTGCAACAGGATGATGAAAGTGGGCACCTGACTGCTCTAAAATAGTGACATTACATGGTGACATTATCTCCTGCTAACTGTCAGCAGCCATTCTATAAAAATTACAGAACTCACTGGTCACATGGCAACAAGCTCCATGGTAACCCTGCCATAGCAACAAAATCACATGGTATACAAAATGGATGCTAACAGATGGATTTACCTACTTCCTGTCCTCACTCAGTACAGGGTGTAAATATCCTTTTGTAGGTACACAGGACTTGACACAGAATTTGGCCACTCAGCTGTTGTGTTTTGTTTTGCTGACCTACAGCAGCAACATGTCACACTGCCAGAGATCACAATGATTGTACGCTGGACTGGACTTTTCGGGTAATCTCTGCTGCTATAATTTAGCCTCGAATGGTGGGGAGGTCCATTTTTCAGCTACCTCTATACCTGCATTGTTTTCTCTTTGATTAACGAGCTTAAGAGTTTTGTGGTTGTAGATCTGAAACAGATAGTCAAATTTTTATTACAAATGGAAAGAACCAGACATAAAATGACACACAGTTCTAACAGATAGGGTTTCAGCGACAAAGATAATGACAAGGATAATTCTTTATAGAACACTGAAAATGGGTATAATAAAAGAGCAGTTAAAAAACCCTTGCTTTGAAACCTATTCTTTAGAGTATAGATTAATGAAAACCGCTTTTGTGGTGACAAACTTAGGGTATTTTATTACGTTGCAGTACTTCTAGACTTACCTTAATGCATATGTAGGAATGTGAATACTGTACAACACGTACAACTCATATGGATTGGTATTCATGGCAAAACATTTATGAGTCTCAGATACTATATATGTCTCCAATGCTTTGTGTTTTAACCTTGTGTGTAATGTATCTGCAGTTTCCGTAGAGTCCATATCACTTTGTGGAGGTGTAAATATTGTCCTTACAACAGATTTGTAAAATGCCCTAAGAATTTCCCTTCTTCTGTATATGCTCATTGTTTTGCCTAGAAAAATACAGAAAAATTGTTTATCCAATTTTTCTACCTTAAGTAGTATTAATTTATATGAAGGAAATATCCAACGGCATGTTATTACATATGTCATACACGGAAACACTGTTGTTATGAGGAATATGCAAAGAGAGAAAAAGCAATATATATTTCTATCATACAATTCTCAGGGATTTTTTTTCATTTGTTTTAATACCTATAATCTTTAACTAAAGTGTATTCAATGGAATCATTAATTATGAGGTTTACAACAGTGCTCACCCTGCCGACTACTGTCTTCCTCCATGGGTTCTACTGTACACAGGCACCTATGGGATTCTCTGTTGATTAAAATAAACCTGAAAATAGGATTGATATTACACGACACAATGAAACTCAGGTAAGTCTACAATGCAGAATTAAATATCACAATGTGTTAAAAGCATTTTTGCATTATGATGATAAATTAAGTGAAAATAATATTTACTCCATACCTGAACCATACATGATTTAGTTGTGAATGGAACTTAAAATGTATAAAATGAAAGGATGAATTGACTGTCTTTTAATATCATGTCAAAAGCCTCATGCTTTTTCAATCTCTATCATGCTCACCCTAAAATGCTTTGGTCTGTAAGAATACTGGTTGGGAAATTTCTGGGATGAATTCGTGTTGAGGATTTCAGATACTCAAATGCAGTTCTCCAGAACCTGTCCACCTAGAGTGAAATCACAGTTGTACGGCTATCAGAACCATCTAGAACTCCAGGTTTTAAATGACAAAACCAACTTCTCAATATATTAAGGTTCTAAAGATGAAGCTTTGGCAATAGCCTAAGGTTTCAGATATTTAATATAACCTTGACAACAAATAATCAGAAATTGAATACAGGGCTATTTTTTTTACAGATTTGTATCATGACAAATATCCAGATGTCTCCAGTCAAATACAGTCCTGATCATACCTCTCTCTGGAGTTCTGCTAGGGAAGGTGTGGGTCCACAAACTACACAGACTTCTACTCCCTGGACTAACTGGAATGTTAATAACCTATGGGGGACCTGCAGTGACAGGGGAAAATATTGTGACTCTTTATCTTTTGTTAATTTTTAAAAAGTTTCATAAAATATGTGCTGAACACCCTCATAACAGCTACTGACAGAAGAAAAGAAGACACTATCAGGCATAAAAAACATTTGAAATGTCAACAAATTATACCACAGTGGCTCTAGTAATAACTGAATTTCTCTGAAGTCATCAAGGTAAAAAAAAAAGTGATAAATTTGAACTTTACTAGGATTGACAGCTGACAAGGAACAGAACTAACAATATTTACGCAACCATTAGACAATTAGAATAACAAGGATATTTCTATCATGAATTTTTTTCACAGAAAGCACACTTACCTTTGGGCTACCATGTGGGAGAAATATGGGAATATCCCTGGCAGAACACTTTGGTAAAGAATTGACTAGGAGTGACAATAATACTAGCTCCACAGAAGAGAGGCTCCACCATTTTCTGGTGGCAACTGCCACTTTACCCCAAACTAACAAACACCCGTATGGACTGGCTGCTGCTTCCACAAACGCATCAAGGTATTCCTGCAATGAAAATGGAGTTTTAACTTTACTGAAAAAAAAATCCTCATGGAAATTGTATGAAGAATACTATATATATATATATTTTTTTTTTTTTTTTTTTTTCGAAAGTTATTTGGAGAGGTTCGGATGAACTTACAAGGGGAAACTAAAAGTAAAGTCATAAATATTTCCCTTCGACAAAATTTGCAGAAGTTATGGCATAATGAGGATGACATGGTATATGTTCTGTTCATGTAACTGAGCATCTAAAAATCAGTAATCATAGTTGCGAATGTTTGCAGTTGCCTAAACTTAGATATACTGCAGGTAACACTAAAACGCTGGCAGGTTACCAAGTCTTCAAACAAAACCTGGCACCAAGTTTGACTCGGGGGGGCCCCATTAGTAACCAGATTCACTTCGACCTAAAATAATCTCACTGTAACTTTTCATTACATGTTGATCCTATTGTGAATGCTGCAACTGTGTTAATGAATGAGCTGCAAAGTTTGTTGTTTACCTGTAATATGCTATTTTCTGGCCCCAAAACAACATCTACAGAGTCTGTAAGATCTGAGAATGTGTCCAAGTCTGCTTGGTCTAGTAAAGAGTCAACCAGCTTGAAGCAAACCTAAAGAAGTGAATGTAGTGAAAATGACAGCATACATTTTGCCCAGACTGAACAATTAATTTCTTCACCAGAACGAAAATGAATTTGAACACTATCATCAAATGTTTTATATAATTTGAGCCAAGAATTTTCATATTAAGTATTATCACTGTAAACTTAAGTCTGGGCCTTGGGCTGCATTGCCAGAAGCAAGACCCATAAAAATGCATAGCTTAATTAATCTTACAATAATAAGGGACATGTGCTGACATACAGAACAAAGGCAATTATATTGACAAGAATAGTATTAATATAATTTGGAGGTTTATTTAAAATTTCATATCATCTACTGCAAAAGTCACAGAAGTGAAAAAGCTTAAATTTTTAAAAATAGATATTCATGTACATGTGTACCTTAATCTCTTTTTTGAAGCGCTCGATATTTTTTATATTAGTCAAATCATCCAGTCCATATACCAGCACCATGGAAAGGAACACCTTCTCAATCAACTGCTGCAAGTGGCTGTCACTTGCATTGTCATCACGGCTCACTAGAATCAAGGTAATACTGGAAAAAACATGAAGCAACTCTTTAGAGTTTGTTCAAGACCAACTTGAATCAAGGTGGAAAAAAAAAAGACTACATTTTAAAATTTGTTGGGATAATTAAGGATTGTTATCATAAAAATTTAACTTGAATGAAGGTTTGAATTATATGGGGGAGAACAGTGATCTAAAATTTTGAAAAAAAAAAAAAAAGCACACAGCAATAAATTTGAAATAACTGTCACATCTAATGCTTATCTATTACTAAGATAAAAATTCATCTCTAAAAACATAGTTTGTTTGTCACATATACTAGTCACAGCACGAGACATCAATAATTACAGGCCCATAAGTAAATTGTTTTCAGGAATCAAGTGGAAGTTTGCAATAGATGCACATAAGTACAGACTGCTGCCCTGGTTAATCAGTGCAACATATGGGAGAGAAGATGATTCTTTATTTCCAGCACAGCATCTGTGAAACCCAAATATTACAAACCTGGATACCTCTTTCTTTGCTCTCTCTCCCTCTTTTCTCTCGATTCTTACAGTAAAAAATACTATAACTACACAAAAGTTCTTTTTTTTTTCAACTGTTGCAAATTAATAAAGTCATCCCTGGTTGTGGTTTGCAAAAAAACCACTCAGTAATTTATATGCTAAAAGTACACTTAACTTGATGGCGTGCCAAGTCTATATAATGTGTCTGATACACTTAATCATGCTTTATCACGCCACTGCTCATTAAATGAATATAGTCCATGACCATGCATATTCCTTTCTCATGGATAATGCAAGTAGAAACATAAAATCACTGGAGTAATTAATTCAATCAACTCGTCTATCACAGTTTGTCTTGGAAAACAAAACTTTGATCAATTATTATTGCTAGGTAGTGGAAATGAACAATGCTTTTATGAATATATGAATTATTCTGTTATATGAATCATTCTGCTATTCCCTGGTTTTTTTTATTGATTTTATTTCCCGCCTTTCTTTAAGTATACTTATATCTGTTGCCTTGTCTCTTCATCTGCCTTGCCCTGGCTTGTAGTTATGCTCTAACTTTTTTTTATATTTCTGTGCCAGCGATTCCCAGCTGGCTACAGTTTTAAACTCTGCGTAACCAAGGCCAGTTTTTAGCATACACAAAGGAAAGCGATTGCCTGATTCATTTGCTATGTTAATTGTACAAACAGCAGCATAATATTTGAGATCATATTCTTTATCAGGCAACATATCATGCAGCACTGCATGACGTTCTTAGGAAAAACGTCATCTGTTATGACAAGTACTTTTTTCACTCCAACTTTAATTTCTAGCCAACTAAACATAAGTATGCCAACCAGAGCAAATGCAAATGTAGTGTATTTCTAGAGCAAAAACCCTTATTCCTTGTTTCTTTTTGTTTAGTCTTTTTTTCACTTTTTCAATACAGTTGTGATTCAGTTTGTATTAGTGCCATATGTATGTGAATTTTAGAATGCTTTGCTCTTAGTAAGAGACTAGAAAATATCAGGCAATATTTCATGATGCGGTAATAAGTTTTTCATGAAGCATCCAACTTACAAAATAAAAATCTGTCAACAAAGAATGACATGCATGGACACTTAAAACAATAGAAGTTTATGATGCAGGATTATTCTTGTTTGGAGGGAAAATAATAGCAGATAAAATATTGTTCCTTATATATTCACAATAAAAATAATATTATAGCAATATTTTGGATCAGGAATTGAAGAAAACACCTTTCCTTACCTGTCATGAAAGACTTTCCAAACAACCTTGGCATCTACAGTAGTAGTTGATAACAATGAAACATCATGTGTAGAGGCAAACATGTGAACCCCATTTAGTGAGCCAATCACTGGGAATGGAAGCTGGAAGATTAAAAATAAATTTATATACATTTATGTCAATTAAATCATCAATAGCATATATCATAATGTACATGTCATAATACTATGTAATATGGTACCCTTTAAGTTTTACTTCACTTTGGCCAAAGAGAAAATATCTTTTCAAAACAATGTTTTGCTAGTAATGCCATCAAAATATGAATGCCCATACCACCATGTTGTATCAATTGAAATAGTCTGGAATCTTTGAGTAATTGTGAGTTATGATTAGTAAAATTAAATGAAAGCAAATGCTCACATTGTATTAACAAGTACATGACATCATTTTGTGATGGCCCTTTAACTTCTGCAACCTCCAAACATTGCAGTTCAAAAAGTCTGAGTTGCAGGGAGACTCTGGTTGTTATAAATTGGCTAAATTCAAACATAGATATATAAATTTTATTTCCTGAAACAGCAATTTACTACTAAATTGCAGAAAGTTCACTTAAAAGTTTTAAAAGAAATGGGGGACTTAAAAGAAAAAAATATTGGAATCACCAAAGTTCTTGAAATTTGTAGGTAATACAGTATTATAAAAAACACTTTGTCCTGTGGTAAAACAATCTGCACCTGTCACATTGGGGAGGAGACACTACTAGTATTTGAACAAATTTGCTGTGGTGACAATATCATTATATTCATATAAGATCAGATCTGCCAACTACAACATGGCCCACCACTCACAAGAACTCATATTAAAGAATGTGTGACTTAAACATGTGGATGTCTTTACCACTATAGAGAGATAGTAGAGCTGAAAGATACAAGAGATATCCCGTCCATAAATGCAATAGTTTTTCAATAAACACACATAGCTATATGAGACATTTTCTTCTGTATAGTAGGCTTAGGTATCTACTTCAGTGATAATCCAATTTTGGGTATAATCATAATACTTTTCACACCACATCTCTTTATAATGATTCTACACATGCAAAGGAGCATGATATTTACTTTTTCAAAAAGAAATTTTTAGTGTTTGTGATTTAGAATGATAATTTACTGTTAAATCACTATGAGTATTGTATCAATGATGCTCTATGTTTTCTGAAATATATCTATACATTAATCTCTGTAATTTCCATAAACTTTTAACTTTGACATATTACATCAGCCATGATCATCTCATTCTGGTAAACAATAGATTTCAAAGTATTTTACAAGTTGCTGTTTCATCTACACGAATTTTATCACTGTCAGGTTGCAGACAAAGGCAAATAAAGCATCCAAACCTTTATTCCAAGTAATATAATTAGTAAACAGCAAATAAATACCCATATTCATATCAAATTCAATTATAAAGCTTTTGCTGTTCAAACCAGTTCGCAGCACTCACATAAGAGAAAGATAATACACAGTATCAGCTGTAGCCTAGTACTATATAAAAGAGAATACATGGTGCCAGGCTGCAGCTGATGTTTGTGACTAGCACAATAGAAGCCAAGCACTTCAGTGTGTACTAGTTCTGGCTACATCTTTACTGCCCATAATCCTTAGGACATTTTCTTGAAGTACAATAACTGGTGTGAAATGCCTTTTGAAACACCTCTCAAAGGTAGTATCTTCATAAAATTCAAGCAATCAGTTAGATCCTGAGGCCATTTAAAATACAGTAAAAATGAAATGTCAAGTGCTAAAAACAAATTAATATCAGTTCCTTCTAGTCACCTAGCTCCCCTCCATTATATCACAATACCTCAGGCCCCCCCTATTCCAGAGTCTATAGCTCTGTCTTTTTGTATCAGTGTACTAGTACTTTCTCTGTCCCTATACCATCATATGTTAGGTGTTAGCCCTAGAATTCCTATATATACCATACCACCAGCCTGCCCTAGCTATCCTTCACACCAGAATACCTTTTTTTACCAGAATACCGTTCTCTGTACCAGCCTACCCTAGCTGTCTTCTATACCAGCAGGTTACCATAGGATTCCTATATACCATACCTATAGCTTAACCTAGCTATCCTACACACGAGAATACCATATAATTCCTTTGTACCAGAAAACCTTGTCCTCTGTACCAGCCAATCCTAGCTGTCCTCTACACCAAATTATCATATAATTCCTTTATACCAGAATATCCTGTTCTCTTTACCAGCCTACCTTAGCTGTCCTCTACATCAGAATTCCTTTATATACCAGAATTCCTTGTTCTCTGTACCAGCCTACCCTAGCTGTCTTCCATATCATACCCTACCACAGAATTCCTCTACACCAGGATATCCTTGCTGTCCACTACTACACCAATACCAACACACCCTATTCTCTATGTACCAGAACCCCCTAGCTGTCATATACACAAGATTACCATAGCATTCCTCTACACCAGCATTCATGAGCTTTCCTCTATACCACATTTGTCCCCATTGAAAACATGGAAAACAATAGCAGATATAGCAAAGTCTTCATTTGCCCTATCAAACTCAGGTGCTGCTTTTTTGTTATTGAATAACTTAAATTAGATTTTAAATATAATTTGTTATGAAAGACTTCAACAATAACAGAGGGAAAGGACCAGAAGGAACAAACAGATATAATATTCCATATTGCATGCCTCACCCAAATACAGATGTAAATACTAGTACATACAAAAAAAATAGTTTCAACACTTTGAGAAATTTAACATAGGTGCCACTACTGCCATTCCGCCCAAGGGTGAAGGATGATGATGATTCGACAGGATAGTTAATGTCATGTTTGTTGGTCTCTATGCCTGTTCATCAATTGCCTGACCAACTGCAGGACAGAGGTATACTAATGCACAAAATAAAGATCTATATCTTGGATAAAGAAGTCCATCCCAATGTATTTATTATGAACTATGAGGTTGGCATGCAATTAAGCAGGTCATTCAAATAATATTGAGTACTAATCACAAGCATCTACCTGATTAATTAAAGTAAACTAAATTGTATACTTTCCATTAATTAGATTTATTAGTTCAAAACTTCATTCATGCCTCAGAAAGAAAAGCAATATGTAAGATGCACAGTTTTCACCACACAATGAACAACCTGAGTGGAGTATTTTTCCTCCAAGTGGAAAAAATGAAGCTGTAGAAATGATAATCACAGGACATGCACATATAATCAAAGGACATTGGTCTCCGACTATGAAAAACATACTGGCTACAACAACTTCATTCTGTTACGAAAATATTTAATTAAGAAAGGCCTCGGGTATGGTATCAATTATGAATAGAATAACAACAATTCAGTCATATCATAACAGTAGCTGAAATGCTTGGGCAGAAGAATATTATTATGATCAATTCAGTTTATCTGTACACTTACATAAATAAGCGGAGCTGTGAGAAAAGGGAGGAAAGACGAGGTAAACTATGCAGTGCATAACAGCCCCCTTTGTAACGTGGAAAGATTAAAAGGCCATATCAAGCAGAAAACTAGTCTTTCATGCAATACAAAAACACTGCCCTTATGTAGTCAACTTTTTTTCTATTAGCAAATACTTCAAATTCTTGTCTTGATTTTCTGTTTCAGTTTCTTGGCATGTCCACATATAATAGCAGGTCACATCCTAAGTTTAATCTAGCACAGAATAAAAGGAGCAGTACTTTTCAAATCCTCAATGCATTTTGTTTACATCAGAGTAACTGATTAGATACTATTTTCTAGACAGCCTTCATTATACAGTACTAGTATATGTGAACCTTTGCGAATACTCCTGTGTGCAGATTAAGAATACTATTCAATCAATCTTACTTAGGACCCTGGTGTTCTTTAGTTCTTTTCAAATCAACTGAGCAACATGGTAGCATTTTATTCCTTATCCTCACATCAGTAATTTCTCTAAAGTAAACCTATGCACAAAGTTCATATGGACTCAGTAACAGACCCCAACTGCAGCAGGCCCACAGTATATAGTAGGACAAAAAAATAGAGTTCTTTGAGGAGGGGCAGAGGGACTGTCTTGGCTTTATACCAGAGAAATGCTGTACTTAACAATTTACATCTAGAACAGCACATTACATATTTTAAATCCAATCAATAACAATAATAATTACTTATTTATAAAACTAGTAACTTTTCATAATCTATGATTTCAGTGCTAAATACTGCTAATTAGGGTGGGTGGTGGGAGAGGTGGGGTTGGGGTTGTGGAATAAATAACTCATGGACATAATCATTATTTTCAGAGGAAGATAAATTACATGGCTTTAAGAACTTCCCTATATCACAGTTCACGACCAAGTCCTTAATACCTTACTGATAGTGAAAATAAAATGGCAAAAATTAACCAAAGTCTGTTCAGAGATACCACAGCAGATGATACAAAGCACTAATGATGAAGATTAAGAGCGCATTCTCAACGAATTAAGCCAGGCTTTACAAAGCCGGTGACCTAAAAATGGCGGACGTACATGAAAGAAAAACCGCCTAATCTTTTAATAGTCTCTCCGCCTCCCCACACGTCGTTCCTTGCGGGGTACAGTAATTAAATCGCGTCTCCGTTCGCCATGCGGAAGCTACCTGAGAAATATTAAGTGCACATGCTCATCAGTTAAATTCGTGGTGAAGAAAGCATGGCGGCTGAAGGCGATCGAAGGAAAAAAGCTCTTCTGTTGTATTATCTTTGAAAACAGACGAAAAAGGAAAAATTTGGCCCGTAGAGCAGCAATGAATCGACTATCTACGGAGATAATATCACCAGAGATATTCACGGAAATATTAATGTTCGGAGCCGAGATTTAATTACTGTACCCCACAGGGACGACGTGTGGGGAGGCGTGTGAGAGGCGGAGAGACTATCAAAAGATTAGGCGGTTTTTCTTTCATGTACGTCCACCATTTTTAGTTCACCGGCTTTGTAAAGCCTGGCTTAATTCGTTGAGAATGCGCTCTAAAACATCATATAGCTGTCAAAAGGAAATTACAAACTGGCATGTTTACATACAGGTAAGAACCAAAAGGCAATCTACTGAAGTAATGTTTATCAGTTTATGGCAGTCATTGTTAAAGAAAGAAACAATACTGTCAACTTCTTTTTTCTCATTTCTGTTACAATGAATACACATCTTGTAGTAGGTCTGCAAACTGTTCATTATCCATGTTACATTTATAAATCCAAGAGATACAACATTAAAACAATTTTGCAGGAGTCCAGTGTACATACATTTATCCATGTGTTAACAATGGCTGAATAAAACTGAAACTTTCTCATGTAAGCAAACAGCAATTAAAGAAAAAACTTTCATAAAAATCCATGGAGAGCTGACTCAGATCACTGGAGAGAACACAACCATGTGTGGTTAAATTGCTAATTTCTAACTAGCCCAAACTGCCCTGTTATCTGAACATACCATATTTCCACTGACCAAGAGGGTAAATCCAGAAGCTCATTTACTTTTCCATATTTCATACAAAATATATGAAACTATCTTTGTGTATGTTTGTGGGTGAGTATTACAGGATTTTAAGAATCTCAAAGCATCTTATTTTCTTCTAGATAGCCTGTGCAAATGGCCAAGAGCAGACAATATCCTTTACAAATATAAAATGACTAACCACTTGTTTAAAAAAATGTAGATTCAAAGCCAAGTGTAGAAAAGGGTGCCTTTGGTATTATTTATACACAATCTATATGGTGTTTTTGAGTGTGAATCTCCTAGGACCTACGGCTGATAAGTGTCATATTGAATTGATGAAGCCTGTGGGAAAACATGATTTGATAATTTTTGTGTAAAATTTTTATGAGTTTTAAACTTTGTTGGGTCATTGCAGTTGGATGAAATAGTCTTGCATCCTTGCAGCTATTTGAAAACTAAAATATATCCTGATACATCCTTTAGACCTAGGTTTTCATACATTGCACAGCTGACAAAAATACAGCCACCAAACAGCTGTAAACAATGCCACAATGTTTACAAAAAAGTAATAACAATAATTTCAAAATCCCACCATGCTCATTTTCAAAATGAACCCTTTCTAAACCAAACAATGCTATTTCAGTCTCAACTAGGTGGATGTAAAAACTTGAATGTTGCCTGTGACAAATATATTTTAAGAATGAAAATTTTACATGAAAAATTTGAATTGGCAGAAAAATCTTAGAAAGGACACATCCTTAAATTGGTACATTTTAAGTGTTATTATTGTCTAAGGTATGCAATGGTTAACAGGCCATTTTTTTACTATATCAAAGATACATTGCTAAAAATACTCTTAAATGAAAATCCTTGAGTCACGAGGTAAGATCCCCTTACTGCAAATGCTTTAACTCTGTTAAAACAGCAAACTGGTAACACTACTAGTGGTGGCCTTAACTTACATTGTTTTTATTATTATTATACGACTAAGGTCTTCCTCGCTTTTAAACGATTAATAAACAACATAAAACATAAATTCAAATTACTTATTAAATATCGCTAGACTATATATAACGGCTGCCTTTATTTATATTTACCCACCAACAGTACCATCAATGAATCTGTGACACTGAATGACAAATAGGAACATAAACAACCTATTTTCCAACAAGTGACTGTTGGTTTCATTGTGAATTCTACGCAGATATACTGCACATCATGCAAATATTGTAGATTGATACATATTAAGTTTGTAGCAAGTTTTCACACATGAACCTACCGGTTTTAAATCCCCTTTCGTGCGCGTAAATAGCGGTACTCCTCCGCCCGCTGAGAGGCAGAGCAAGTATGCCGCCATGTTGGTTTATATTTACACACGCATGCGCTCTTATTCTCTGAAGGTGAACTGTGGGAAGGAAGAATGGCGCCGTCCATAAACATTGCGGCCGAAAACTTGTAATATTACTAACAATTTCCCGAGGTAAGAATTATTTTTCGTTGTCAGACAATAAGTATAAGTGTAGAACTATAATTTGAGGTCAATTTGACAAAGTATCAACTTTAAACTATTCTTATTTTAAGGAAAATCTAACAGTATCAAATTGCGACCATTGTTCTTGCGCAAATGACATATATGTCATTTATATTCATTGAAGCAATAAAATGAAATCTCGCACGACCAGACCACGCGTTGAACTTAATTAAAGGAGCATGCATTCGTGTGAAGAATACATATAGGACAACATGCAAATGAGTTTTTTGAGTTGGAAAAAAATAGTTGACCACGTTAGAACATTAGCACATGAGTCAGTGTGCAGACAAAGGAGTGAGTAAAAATGTATTGAATCATATATGATTGATTTACATAAATTCTATCGGAAAGCAGTTATTGCATAGAAATGGCTGCTGTGTTTTGAGGGTAATGTTGATAATGAAGAACATTTTCATGATATCCAAGAATGGATTTCTATAAACTTGTAGGTGTGTAGATTTTCCATGTAATTTTTAAGTTTAACATTTGATGTGTTATGGTTGACTGCACTTCTTAAACGCAAGGCAGTGAAATTATACAGGATTCAAGTTGCATTATTGTTATATTCATAGCATAGGGTAAATGATTTAAAAATGCAATTTGAAAGGTAATTATTGTCAGAAATATTTGGCAAAAAATGGGCTTATGAATCTCATTCATAATGTAATGGCCAAAGAATACCAAACTTGTACTTAAATTGATTGAAACCCTTTTATGTATAATTCTTTATGTTTGATGATAGTTTTCAAGCTGAATGATTTAAATTGGCCAAATAAGAATGTTAAGAAACAAAATTTATGGTTATCTTTAATTTTGGATTGTTATTTTATGAAATATACTTTTTTTACATTTTTAGCCAAAGGAACAAAGGATGAAAATGAGGACAAAACGTCCTTCAGAGCATTCTTCTGGTAGCCCGCCCAACAAGACAATCCGATGCATGCCCCAAGTCACTGCCCTCAATCCAAAGACAAGCTTTAACCAATATAAAGACTGTGCAGAAATGGCTACGGAGTTCCCAGATAGTGACTGCTTTCCAGAAGGCTTTTCTGATGGCGACCTGATCATCGATGAATCCAGCAATAGTGCCAAATCAGACCAAGGAGGCCTTGTAGATGACCGCAGGGCAGATCATGTTGATGACAACCATGGGGAACTCGTAGATGACCATCATGATGATCTAGGTGAGGACCACCACGNGGAGGCACATATCTCCCATTGTGCATTTCATCTTTTAAAGGGGGTGTGCATCTAGCATTCAAAAAGAAGATAATCATGCGTTGATAAGGACCAAAATTTGTTGATGGTTTAGAAAAAGTCTTGCCTTCAAGTATTGGAGAATTTAATGAAGGTTTTTGTGTTTTGAGAGACCTGGGGTCCAGACAGTGTAATACTGACCCCCACTCCTTTTCACCCAATAATGAACTGTATATCAAATGAATAGATCTGCTGTGTGCATTTATATGCTTCTTTTGACAAAGCCATATAACAGGTGCCAAGGCAATTTTTGTTGGTATTCTTGTGCCATGATCTTGCATACATACATCTAACCTATCAGAGCTTTTATAAGGGTTGAGCTCTAATTTACTTTTTACTTTTTGTTAGATTTTTTTGTACCAATAGTAATGTTAAAGTTGCCATGTATATCATATAGTCTGTTGTATGTAGGGAATTGGGTGCATACCAAAGGTGCAGTTTCTAGCCTGTAATGTGTTATACTTAGTATTATTGAAATGGATCTCAGTGTTTAGTTATATACAAAACAGATGTGCGTTTATTGGTGCTATAGATTTATTTGTTTTTTTAAGGGTCTACATTAGTGAGTTGTAAACTCTTCCATATTCCATTCAAGTAGCTGTGCAACATTCCAAACTCATTTGATCTGTTGTGCAAATAGTCTTAGGTGATAGTTTGTGTGTCTGTATAATGATTTATTTATGTCATTTTTTTGCTGAATTAGATCTGTACTTTTTGTATATTAATTATAAGTAAAGCGGCCAACAGTGTCTGCAACATGCACTTATTCAAATGATGCCAAAACTTGGGACCTTTTTTTCTTGTGTCCTTGATCAAATAAAGGCAACTTGAATATGCCACCAGATAAACTGCTGTGTTTTGAAATAGCTATTATGTGTGGTGTGGTCCACTGCTCTATAATGTCTCCCAGGTAGCCAAGAGCATATCAGTAGCCAAATATATACAATACTTGTATTGCTGTGGTCTCACATATTTATATATATATATACTGATTATCACATATTTAGAAATACACTATTTATGTTTGAAATCTATAATCTTTTTGTCCACAACTGGATGTTCTGTGTTAGAAAACCTGTGAAATGTTTAGACATGTTGAATTTTGTTTGTACTTAATGGAAATTGAAAAGTGCATCCTGCAATTTAGTAATGTGAATTATATCTCTGTAATTTAAATGAGGTGCATTTAAGAGACTGTCCATTGTTACTTTAAGTTAATGCTATATACTTTATGAACTGAACTACTTGATCTTTCAAGAACCATGATTTTTAGTTGAATTTGCTTCTCATTCAGATCATTACTTAAATAATATTTGGAAAACTTGCAGGGTTTTTACAGTGCTTTACAAAACATCCCCACATCTAGTGGGATTTAAATGCCTTGTTCTTATGACATTTATAGCAAAAACATGGTACTGAATATGTTCTGAATCAATTTTTTATTTACACACTTGTATTTTGAACAAATAATTATTACTCATTTTTGGCAATTAATCACACATTAGGTGCATTTTTTAGTCTGTGTAATTGCATTGTGACACTTTTTGTATATATATATTTTTACAGCCTAATCCTTGAGCAGTTGAAGAGCTGGATAGTCCAGCCATTATTTAGAATACATACATATATATACATATAAGTAGTTCTTTATTCCGATCATTGAAAAAAAAAGATTTTGAGTAACTGTGTTTGTACAGTTTGTTTTGTAGGAAAAGTATATCAGTGTAACAGTATTATGGCTTTTGTACTGTAAGCATTATACATAGAAAATGTAGTTTTGATATTTTGTGACTTTCTAGTTATAAGCATATGTGCACTTTGTAGAATTAAATGTTATTGAAATTAAACCTGCCTTGTTTCTTTGACGACTACCTTATGTACAGAAAACGTGTCGTCTTGTAATTGATTTCTGGAAAAGTGTGAACTGTCTTACCATACTTATTTAGGCTCCAATGCATTCACACTCAAAGCAACTGAACTGCTTTATGTGTATGGGTGCTTTCACAAAGAAACTATCATACTAGGTAGTTCAAACTAACTCCATGGGGACTCTCACTAAATGTAATCAGATTAACATGCCTTTTGTTTCCAACATAGGCAATTGTTGACTTTTCCGTCTTCTACTTACACCAGGAGTAGTTATGTTAATCTTTAAATTTGATTGCATTCAGCAACACTATGTGGTGTTGGTTTGAACTAACTAGTATGGTGGTTCCTTTGGGAACTCGTCCTTTAATACACAAAGCACATACTTAGCACCCACAACTATAACTTTTCAAAATCCTCTTTGACTTAAAAGTACAGAATGAACTTGACAGTGAATGTCAAGAATGTTGGAATGCAGTAGAGGTGATTGCGATGGATGTGAAAACAGATCTTAGCATTTCAAAAGGGGTGGGCATCTTGCTATTCCAAGAGTTTTATTAATCCCAACATTTCAAAAGCATTCCTTGGGACAGATGTGTAGATCTACAGGTTTTTTCATTTTTTGTACTCCATTCATTATATTTAGTGTGCATTCCACCCCCAAAAATTGATTTGAGCATTGAGGCTTTGTACCAGTGATATTCATTTTCACTTAAAAGAAATAGGCATTTGCAGAACTTCACAAAAGTAGCCAAATAAAAATGCTTTTAGAAGTACTGTTTAAGTTGGGACTAGATTCTTAATGTGTTTGCTCTGTACATGGTGAGTCAAAAAGTTTGTGGCTTGAGATTAATCTCATAATGGTGGTGTCAGAGGGAAAGGGTTCATTGTCTGGATAATCAGTGGCAGAAAATGAATATAAATTTTGACATTTTAAATAATTAAAATTAGTTCTCAGACATCTCATCATAGTATGACGAAACATTTGTCTCTTTAAAACACGGCTAGTAGGCCTCTTAGCTTCTAGATTTCAGTATTGCCAGCTCGATCTTGATTTCATATATATATAACCCACAACAGCAATACTGTAAATCTACCACATGAAAAGGAGCTTTATGGTGCCCTGACAGTCAGGGCAGTGTGCCAAAAAAAGAAAACATGACAAGCTATCATAATGTCGTGTAGATCATTTTTAGGTCATATGACTAGCCTAAACCTTTTTCACCCAAGGGGTAAATGTCAATAATAGGACTCATAGGCCTGACTTTTTCTCGATCGAATTAGATTACTCACTACCCAGGACCTGTGTAACTATTTTGACCTAATTTCATTCATATCACTCCTTTGGGACCTGTAAGACCCCAAGCTGACGAATGACCTAGTTTACAGCCGGATGCTCGATCTCAAAAGAACATGGAAAGATGGATGTGGTTTCACTTCCTGATTATTTTGAGAATATTTGCGTGCATTTCAGGTACATATGTTTTTATTTCATTCGAACAATATAACTTTTAAAAAACATTTAAAGTGTGTGAATCTACTGCTAGATTTATCTTCCTCACGACTCGATCAGTTTTAACAGAATTAACTTTTTGTTGTTGTATACATGGCTTCACGGTGAATCACACAGGTTTCTGTTCACATGATACTCACTGTGTGATCTGCGTCCGGGCGGTGTTAACTGATTTCAGAACATGTGTATGTTATCTATTAACTCTTGTCCTTGATAATTTGGACAGAATTCTACAATGAAATAACTTTTAAAATTGTAATTTGATGTCAAGTTTTACACGCATTTTAAAAGATCTCAAAAGAACGTGGAAAGATGGAAGTGGGTTCACTTCCTTTTTGTTTTAAGAATTTTTGCTTGCATATCAGGTACCTAGACTATGTTTTTTTTTTATTTCAATTGAATAGTAGAACTAAAATGTATTTAAAGTGTGTGAATTAAATGCTAGATTTATCTGCCTTATGACTTGTTGTTATTGTATACATGGTGTTATGCTTCTAATTTAATGCCTAAACTTGCAATACCTAAACTTCCCTGTATTCTTTATAATTAAGTGGTGCATAGTCAGAGACATATATTTTCAAGTATGTTTTATTATATGTGCTTAAAATTCCATTGCAGAGATCTATGTCCCCTACCAATGTGCTGATGGGTACTTTGGCTGGCATTGTAAGTTTCAGTGCCAGTGTGCTACAGATGGAGAAGTGTGTAACAAGACAACTGGCTCCTGTCTAAGTGGTTGTACTGGAGACAACTGGGGACCTGGATGCCTGCTTGGTAAGCAATAGAATATATATTGATAAATTCTTGTAATAACCTTCTGTATGATTTAAGTCCAGTAAAATAACATACTTTCTGTTTAGAACTGAAGTTTGTTGTAACATATTGACATTTATTTTGAGGCCACAGTAAAGCTATAGCCAAATCAGTCATTTTAAAATACATGATTACAGAAAGGTAAATGTCACGAATGCTGACTTCAGACATTTGATATTTTGCTTGGTGATAGCAAAATATCCAAAATTATGGATATAAATGGTATAAATGCATTAATTTAAAATATTTTTGGATTAATTTTTACAATCTGTAACAGTCTGCTAATGTTATACTTCTTTAAGATTCATCATGTTATTATGACTGCTGTGACGATGAACGAAATGGGGGCTTCAAATATGCTGGGAAAATATCAGGGGATAGCACATCAACATGTTATTTGTGGACTAATGCCAGTATTAAGTACAAACTAAAGGATGATGATGTTCCTGAGATGAACATAACTTTAGCATGGAACTACTGCAGGAATTCAGAGATCCTTCCAGGAAAAACACCCTGGTGTAATAGTATTGGCGGATTTATTTACTGTGATATAAGAAAATGTGGTGAGTACAAGTGTGTAACCTTTAAGTTAGATTTAAGAAATGATTATTCCAAATAGTCTGTTCATGTGTGTGTGTGTGTGTGTGTGTGTGTGTGTGTGTGTGTGTGTGTGTGTGTGTGTGTGTGTGTGTGTGTGTGTGTGTGTGTGTGTGTGTGTGTGTGTGTGTGTGTGTGTGC